TTTAAGAGTGTCCCTTTAATGTCACATGACTTGTCACCTGATGACGTCAACATCAGATCAGGTCAATTTGGGTCTAAAACCCTTCCCTTTCCAGCTGTACTCAAAGTTTCAAAGCAATCGGACATATACTTCAAGAGATATAATGCTTTAAAGAGTGTATCTTTAATGTCACGTGACTTGTCATATGATGTCATCATCACATCAGGTCATTGTTCATCTCTCCCTTTCAAGATATCTGCAAGGTTTGAATTCAGTTGGACATGTACAATACTTCACAAGATATAGTGCTTTGATGAGTCACCTTTAATATCACGCGATATGGTCATCTGATGATGTCATCATCACATGAGGTCAATTTCATCTATAACACTTGCCTTTCTAAATGTCCACCAAGTTTCAACCCAATCAGAAATGCACTTCAGGAGGTAAGGTACTTTAAAGGATGCACCTTTAATGTCACGTGACTCTTCTTAATGTGTATGTCATTATCATCAGATGAGGTCAGTCTCCGTTTATAAACCTTCCCTTTCTGACACTCTGCAAGGTTTCAATGTAATCAGGCATGTAGAATACAAAAGAACATTGTTATCACAGACAGAGCACAAATTAGAGATTTTAAACATTTTGTCCCTTTTTTTTTTTGTTTTTTGTTTGGCATTCCATACAATGCGATCTACTCGCAGCGCCACGTGCTTGGAAATTTGCCAACTCTTGAATATAATGCCCTATGCACTGTGCACTACCTACATGTACATGTATGTTACAGGCAGGTAATGCGCGTCCACACACAGAGTAGCCAATGCACAGTATGCAAATGGGATTTTCGAGTACGCAAATATTGTGAGGGGTTTTTATTGTCGGCGCTTCATCTGTTTAAAGATCTGTGTGAAAAAAGCCAAAAACAGAACAGAAGTAATGCCTTTTTTGTAACTTGGGAAAAAGCCAAAAAGAAAAATAATCTTAACAAAAACAAGAGCTGTTTCGGCTGAGTTGCTGAAACAGCTAACTAGCATGCATGAAGTACAGAATATCCCCTAGTACAATGCTTTATGTGACAGGCAGGAGGTCAGGGTGAATCATGTCTACTTTACCATTGTTCTCTCCAGACCGTTGGGGATGGCTGTTGACTTCATTGGGCACACCGTGAGTTGCCCAGCGAGTATGCGCAATGCCACAATGTACATCAAACTCCAGATCCATATCCAGATCCTCTTGCACTGTGGAGATATTGAAAATTTGTGTCTAGCATTGTTTGATTACATAGGCACATGTATGGGCAGTTCCACAATGTCTGAACTCACGATTCAAAAGTAAGCATACGGTACTTAAAGTTACATGTAAACATGTACATGAACACATGAAATAAATTTGAGTTGTACAAGCTGATAAATGCAGTTAATAAACTGGATAGAAAATTGTTCATCAAAGTTTTTCATGGTAGTAAATATTGGTGTCAGAAATATTGATTTTTTGGGATATCCCTTTTTAAATCAAACAGTATGTGATGTTTGGATTTGAGGCAACCGTTTTGCTATTGGGCAATTCCATCGTCATGGACATAACATTTGGAGACAGTTAAATTGAGTACTAATGATCAGAAAACTGACTTAGAACTTTGCATTTGTTTTATTACTTGTCTAGCTGTTTCTACTAACATGTAACAATGTTGTACCAACCAGGCAATATGAACATCAATACGAACATCAATAAAAGCATAATTGTTTATTTAGCTATTGGTATTACTAATGAACGTCATGGACTCTGTGAAGTTTGAATCTTTTTTTTTGTTTCAACTGACTTTAAGACTGTAAGGTAGGAAATAGTCAACAAGAAAAACAACACTAATTAGAATGGCTATCCACTTTATTGAGTGTCATGGACATTACATTTTTGTGTAATGGACATTATGTGCCTAATTAGTGCAGTATACACAACCCAAAGTGAAATACCTACATGTAGACGATTACATGTATCTTACTGTTTCTCGTTTGTTCAGTATTCTTGTTTCTTTACCTACAATATGTGCCCATACCTGCCAACCACTCGTTAATCGAGACAACCCCCCCCCGTAAACATTACTTTTCTTGGGTATCTGCAGGTTTCGGCGAATCAAATTTAAGATTTTTACGACCCTTTTAATGGCTTCACTGATGGAGTTTAAGACCAACTGAGCCAAAACATACACAACAAGTAAAAACAGCTACCAGAACAGGCGTACAGGAAAGTAGCGTTGCAATCCAGTTGCAAACTTAATTTTGCCGAGTGTGATTCCTACTTGGGATCTTGCTTAAAAAGTCTGAGTGCATTTTTTTTTTCTTTTTTTTTGTTACTATAGTGAAATCCTCCCCTACAGCAGTGTGGGATGAGTCTGCTAGTGAATACCAATACCGGTACCTACCCAAACACTCACTATCTCTGCAAATTCCCCTGTACGCCTTTCGCCATTCACTAAAACTTGATCAACTGTAGTGCACCCTTATTTACCGCAATGCACCACAGCGCCGCTGCCATGTTCGTCTTTCTTTTGAGGAGCCCAAGGTCCGAGCCAGAGTGATGGAGGGTATCGACTGTTTGGGTACATGTAGGTATTCACTAGCAGACTTGTCCCACACTGCTGTGGGAAAGGAGTCCACTGCGCTAAACTAGGCGAGGACACACTGAAACTGAGCAAAACCATGTGGAATGATGAGGACCCACCAGAGAAACAAGGAGGCCATTAGAAAGAGCTGTAGGTGGCTCGCCCAGTATGGGTCCTCATGGTTTGTGGAGAGGCTAGCACTGTCTTGCCATGAGAGAATTCCTCACAAGACTTTATTCAGGCAGCATGAGGTGTGATTGATGACACTGTTTCCAGAATACTGCCCTGCAGATATCTTCATCAGGACCCTGCCAAAGAATGTCAGCAAGGTAGATACTGCTCTAGCGTCGTGAGCTGCGATAGGGCGGCTGGGTTTGTAATTTGGGAAGGTCAACCATTTGGGACAAGTGAACTTAATGACCTAGGCAACCCAACTAGCCATAGTGTCTCTGATTGCTACTCAATGAGGTTTACTGGGGTAATGACGGAAGAAGAGGGATAGTACCTCTCAGCTTTGAGTCCTGGTCAGATACCATTTATATAAATTTAAACATAACAGCAAGGTTTGCTACTCGACTGCTCTATGATGTTCGAGATGAAGATGTCTTGTTGGTTGGATAAATTTGAATAGGATCTTGTGTGGGCGTCTAGGGTTAGGATGAAATAAACCCTGTGGTGTTACTTATTCGATGAAATCATCCGTGATGGATACTGTCGGTAATCCAACGCCTCGGAATGAAGAACAAAGAGTTACTAGAAGTAGAAAGGCCAACTTCACTGAGGTGAGTGATGATGAGGTCCCGATAAAAGGCCCGGAGGGAAAAACCCTTTCAACCCCTTCACGACGGATGACGGTAAGAGCCGCTGTAAAAATTGAGATCCTCAGCCCGCTTTTCAGCTATTATTCTCGGCCCATGCTCAAGCAAACACGGTGAAAGAAGGCAGACCCTGGCTTTTGTTTATACATGTATGGTGATTGGCCTTTGTGTGTAGCCCAGAAATGAAAAGACCGAATTTGCATCATAATCACCAGCTTCACAATAGTCCCCACTTTGAAAAGAGGCAACGGGAATGTGGAAGCATGAGTAGAGCCGCATGCCAACGAACAATCAGCCTTTTCACTGTGTAATTCAAAGCGTGCAGAGCACGCAGGCCACAAACCGAGAATTTGCGGTTGGCAGCTGGCCTTCGTGGCCAAGAGAGGCTGGAATTCTCGGATTCTTTCAGAAAAAAGTTCCCGTCATCAAGGGGTTAAGTGCTCAAGGACACAAGACAGGTCCCACCAATGAATGAGTTGTCTCGGAGGGGGAATGCTCAATAAATATACTAAGAAAAGATATGTGAGAGCAGCGTTGTCCGAGGAAGCGGAGCCATCATAGTGGATATAGCCCTGACAAAAGAACAGTAGTTGCGTACGAATGCTAACTGTAGTTCCGAGCTACTGTGGTTGTAGGTGTCTCGGTTGGAGATGCACAACGACTGGCAAACCATTAAAAAAATGGAAAGCTGTTATGTGTTGGTGTAGACTTATACTTTCAACCTGGTTGATCCAGTCACCGGGGTTGGTGAAGCCAGAACAGAAAGAAAGAGAAGACAGTAGCAATGCTCTCAAGCAAATGACAGAAACTGAGGGAACGAAGGGTGGGCGCATTGGCAAATAACCTTTCCCAACTGAAATGGAGGACAATCGTTGCCCTGGCTTGTACAGTAAACTCCGGTTAAGTCGGCACTCTTAGGGCACTCAAGAAATTATGACGACTGACGCGAATGCCAACTTGTGCTTAAGTCGTCATTTTGCTGACTTACACGTACACATGTAATGCCTACATGTATGTACATTATGATTCCTTGCACTAATTCAATGGCTTTGATTTACCCTGGTTTATTTCTGCCTCCATGGTCGATCCCAGCAAATTCGTTCTCGATTATTATCTTGCAAATTCAATAATTGATCATGTTCCCCTAAGGACGAAGCAAGGACGGCAAGCCACTTGCATATCACATCACAACTCAACAGTGCAGTACGTACATGTATGTGATACAGTTATGGTACAGAAAACATACACTCATCCACACACACATAGGTTAAGTTCGTTCAATATAGTCTAGATACCAAACCCGTTGATTCTGACTACCCGACAAATCATTATCAAGGGTCGTCAGGGAATCTTTGGGCAGGAAACCAGACTATGCTCAATAAGGCAACCCCCCAAAATGGACCAAGTGCATGCGTGTAGCACTAGAGGGGTTATGGGTATTGATGTACTCATGCTGGCCGCGCGCACGGGACTTGACACTTCTTGGCAACCGCGGCAAAGGAAACTGATACCGGGAAGCACAATTTTTTTTTTATGCCGACTTACCCAGGGAAATTTTTGTGGTTTTGTGGAAAAGGAACCGAGAAAAACATGACGACATATACAAAATGACGACTTATAAATGTCAATTTAGAAATGAAATTTTCAATGGAAATGCATTACAGACGATCGGGACTCTTGTCAAACGGCAGACTTGGACGATATGACCGATTACGTGATGCCGACTTCTTCAGAGTTTACTGTAGTTGAAGAAACCTTGTGTAGAGCCTAAGCAGCCGGGCAGTCGCTGTCAAGGACAAAGACAATATATGAACTGTCAAATATCTTGAAGATTAACTCGGTCCTAATGTCAAAGAGAATCTGCTCTGTCGGGATAATTTTTCTCTGAGAGCGCACATCTGCAAGAGAGTCATAATGTTGGCAGTCAGAATATGGGTTACCTTGAGTTCAATCCCAGAGCCCAACACCCATGGGGACAATTGTCTGCACGAACAGGACAGATTTGTCCTGGCGACTGTGCAGCAGGGACGCATCAAGCTGGAGGTCGCCTAAAGTTCCGCATGTTGAAGAGACTTTCCAATAACTGAGACCTGGAAGGTCAGGAGGGGAAATATTCCCTTGTAAATCTGGACGGGTTGGTAGAAAGTCGTCACCCAAGGATCCATCTTAGGGAGAGAAAGGTTGTAAACCAGATGGTTCCATATCAGCTGCTAGCAAAGTTGTGACATGGTGAGGTCCATTTTGAAATTTGGGGGATCGATCAGGACACAATTTTGGCCGCAAGAACACCAGTAAGTGGGCTGGAGGGGCCTCATTATGAAAACGGTAAAGAGGTATCAGGTCCACCAGACCCATAATCAGGCCAAAGAGGAGTTGTGGTTGTGTGCCGGAGCCTGAGAGGGTATGAGTAGGGGCAAATCTCAAAAAGTAAGGTTAGTGTCAACTGCCATCTTGTCTGGATAACTGTCTACACCCAGTTAGCCATCGAAACGTTCAAATGTCAGAATGGCAAAATGGCATAGGTACATGTAGGTGGCCACAACTTCCACCATTTGGGTGAAAACCCCTTGGACATCGAGTGATCGAAAGGTACATGTACATGTAGGTCAAATCCAAAAAGTTCTTCCGGTGTACAGGAATCAGAGAAACTTGTAAACTATAGAAAATTTCAGATCCATCAACGATAGCCAGGATATAGTTGACGGGGGTTAAGACACTGTGGAGTGTTTGGGATGCCCCATACAGAACTTCCTAGGGGCAAACGAACCTCTTTTTATCTCCAATGCCTGCCCATTCGACCTTGTCAGAGAGATTGGAGTTACATGTACATGTAGGTGAAGAATTTGGTCAGACAGAAGGGCACTAGTAAATCCAAAGAGTAGTTGAAAACAATTGCAAGAGCCCATCTGGCCGATGTGAAGAGTTGCCAAAACCATACATGAAGTGGTACGCAGTCAGAAACACAGTGCCCTCTGTGTTATTTACACGGGCTAGGTACAGGGTGAATGAGTGAGTTGGATCGGTGTAAAAGCCTATAATTCCATCATCTCTATGAGTTTTCACCCAGATGAGTCTTTCTGTAAAGAGGGAGAGGCACTGAATTTTGGCTTTCACGCCCTCAGACAGGATGTTTATGGCCTTAAGCGCATTAACTCTGCGAGCAGACAAAGACAGGCAAGAGATGAGCAGGAACTGCTCGAAAATAGTGCTGGTATTCTCATCCAGTGCCATAAGAGCAAATGCAGTATGGTCTGCAGAGACAGGAGATTTATTATTTTTTTTTTTTTTGGCCTCAGGGAAGATACTCTAATAAGGGTGCAATTTAAGGCTGCCCAACGGAGACTGCAACAAGAGGCCCCATCCAACTTGGTCAGGGTAAGCTTGAGGTTCAATTTGTCCTTGTCAAAGAAGAGGGCCCTTAATTGCCACAAGACTTAGCCGAGTCAGACCGATCTTGTCTGCAGCGGCAGACCCCCAACTGGAAATATGTTTCTGGAGTAGACGAAAACAAATCTCCAAATGTGTACGGTTAAAGAAGGCTATTCCTTTGTCCCCAGCAGACTCATCGTGAGGATCGGGATAAATCTGGGCCGGGCCCTGTTGTGTATCCCGAGAGGGATCGCGTGAGGGTTCGAATGATGGTAGATGTAGATTGTCCATCAGGCTATACGAGCCTGTGCTGACAACCAATGTGTCTTCACACTGGACAGGGAAGTCCTGGATGATGGATGCCGAAGTGGACCAATTAGAAGAGGGCTGGCATCTGGAGCTGAAAATAAAGGGTGTAAACTTCAGATTAAGGGGGCTGACCAGATAATAGTTGAGGAGTAAGCGGTGTGATGTTTGGACTAACACAACTTCTTACAAGATGAACTGCAGAAGAAGACGTGGAATGTTTACACTTCTTATACATGGAAAAGTTTGCAGACAAATTCGCAGGCGAGGCCAGATGTCAGACGGGGCTGGACGGGCAGGCAAGAACGGCCAAGCTGCGGATCACGTCCGGAAGAAGGACTGTGGTGTTTGGATGAAAGCAGCTAAGTTGCTCAAATCTTTGACATAATAATACAAATCTCCATTTGCACACAACTATAAGTAGAAACATAGTTTCTGTTCTAGTATAGTTTGACATGAGTGCCAAGGAATTGTTACTTTCCAATCTTAGGACGCTGAAAACTTCACTTGGCATGCTTGGTTTTGAGAAAAGCATGCTGCAGCATCGGACAAAGGCTGTGCTACAGTTTTGATTGACCTTCAACGTGCCAGGTTATGGTTACAGCAGTTTTCATATGCCAATAACAGTGTTGATAGTCACACTTGCACCTGTCTAATTTGCATATTTCACAGGAAAGGTCCAATGGACATTATATTGTAGGTCTTGGTCGGGCCAATCCAAAGTTTGTAAAAGAGAGGTACTCGGGGGCCACCTACTGTAGTGGGATTAGCAGATTACAGGGAAATGCGCTGATTCAAAAACATGTAAAGAATATTCATAAATGTGATTAAATCTGACCAGAGCTGGCAGCATTAAGCAGTAGACCCGTAAACAGGGCCCTTCTCCATCGACACTGGGCCCTGGATATGGATACATATTTACATATATAGAAACAGAACTTTCAAAGTTTTTAAGTTTCACCCACTGACATCCGCAAGTCCCTTGAAATAACAACCTGGGGATGACTGGTCGCACGGGTAGTAAATGTGCTGGTGGAAATTTCAGCTCATAAAATATAGCGAATGTCAGTGGATGAAACTCCTGAAAATTTGAAAGTTGTATTTATATATACATGTACATCCAGGACCCAAGCATTGACAGAGTACATGAAGCGCCCTGATCACAGGTGTACATTAAGCAGCAGCCTTTCTTAGGACTGAAAACAGACAGTGCAGACAATCCTGCCAAAAACGTCTGGCAACAAATAGTATTGAACCAAAAAAAATTGTTATAAGATAAAGAGCACAAGCAAAATGGTTGAAGTTGTATTTTCTTTTAATTTTTTTTTCCAGGAATGCTTTGTCAAGCAGCAGAGAGCAAAAGAGACGGGAATGTTATGACACATTTGGAACAAAGGTTATGTCGCTCTGGAGTTTTGATATCATACCTCGTTACAAATCATACACTCGGTTCCTAACAAGGAAAAGCAATGATTGTCAAGGGTAAGCTGTAGACAATATTTGATTGATGTGTTTTCCTATTTTTGAATTAGTTTAAAAATATCTCCTTTATTTGGGGGAAAATTTAATAATCTTGGCCTCATTTCTTTTCATGCCCATTATCAATATTTTACGCTCTTTTTAAATAAAGGTCATGTTCATAATCATAGTGAATTTTATTTATCATTTTATTTATATAAACAATGAAGGAAATGATTTGTTTTTGATTTAATCAAAAACTCTGGTTAAAACCACCATTTGCGATAATTGGAAACCAGCACTTGTGCCAGCTCCCACTGAGCTGTGGTGTCCTCATTTGCATGTCAACAAAGGCACTTGTTTATAACAGATGGCTCAAATCAATTTCATCCAAATCTTTTAATACTGGCAAGTTGAAGTACATACATATGTACATGCAAAATTTGTTGTACTCGTACCCGAAGTTATCTTTCACCAGGACATTGTACACAGTTGGAACTAAGCGCCCATATATTATCTAATTACCGTTCTGTCTCGTTGATTTGCACAAGCATAATTGCCACACTAAGGCTCAGTCACTCCTTCCTATTTTTCTCTTCCACTTTCTCAAAATGGGCTCAAGGGGGTGTGATGGGGAAATCTGTTATGAAGTGACCTGTATAAAGCGTCATTTACTTTCTGATTATAAAGAAGAGGAACTCAGATGGAGCACTAAGAGGTCTATGAGATGTTAAGTGACTCAGTTTTCCAGTATCAATGGCCAGGAAATTATGAGTACATTGTAGGTCCAACACTGCTCAACTGTTTGTGACAATGATCGAGAAGCATGAAGGAACTGACCTTCAATCTTACTGGTATAATAGGTTGACAGTTATTCAAACTGCCCAGTGCTTACAAAATTAACTCTTTATAAAATGTTCAAATCAACAACTACTGATATTGCATTTGGAAAGAGAAGGGGTTGCATGGGCAGTCTGTGATGCCTACTGTATTCACAAGCAAACAATATTTATACATCAATAATGGAAGGTAAAACGAGCTGTTGAAAGATCATGTGCATGATGTATCTCATAAATGCAGGTGCTTATTTCCTTTCTTTCTTCTGCTCCAGTAACTCTTGTTTTCGTCGAATATTCATCCATCTAATTTTAACCATTTCTTCTAATACAGAAGTGACAAGTTGAAGTAAAGAGATTATCCTGTGCTCTGTGAGATTGTCAACTCCTATACATTGTCAGCAAGAAAAGTGGCCAAATCTCTGGACACATAGGAGGATGATTTATCAACTGGTATGTCTGACTTAGAAACTGATACAAATGTGCCACCTCTTTGTAAGCTGTTACAGAGCATCATAGCCCCCTGGTATATGTACTGAGCAAAATTAATTAATTCTCCTTTTGCATTTTTTTTTTATTCCAATAAGCCAGATCATGAAATGTTTTGAGAACAGAAGAACAATGGTGGTGTCTACCAGATCAAAAATCTTTTAGGAAAAAGATGCTGAAGTCATTCTGTGGTGTCACCTGACAAAAAAATGTGCTGTCTTTTCTTAGTATGTTATATACATGTATATTCACAATACAGATCAAAATTTATGATGTTGAAGGTCTGACATAATGACAGTTCTCTAATTTTGAAGCTAGAAGTGCAGAAACAAAGCCTTACAAAGCGTATATTGTGCATTTTAGCATACTATGGCAAACTTTGAGATGGAATTACTAAAAACTGCTGGATTTGGGGGGAGAACGTTTAACCTAACATTTGGGGTGTACATACCGGTAATCTCACATTTACATGTATGCATTCAAAAGTAATCCCAGCGTTGCTGGAATGGAACTCATTTTAACAGCTTGTTTCTTAGTCTCAACTGACAACCTAATATTGGACATTAATTGGTCCAAGTATGTATATAGGCCTGTGCCACGTACCCGGGCACCCACCTGTTGATATACATGTACAAACCTGATTCCATTTTTTTGGGGCTGAGCACCCGTAAAAAACTGAAAAAAAAGATACTTGTAAATCAGGAATAAAAATCCATGTAGTACATGTATAAAATGTTGGTGAAATTTAATACTGAAGGGCTGAATTGCTGAAATATCACCGTGCTGCTGAAAACTCAGTAACTGCAATTAAGAGATCAACAGAGCTACCGGTACATGTACTTTCGTTACCCCCTCCGCCCGTTGTACGAAAGTTGTTTTCTAGTTCCAAATTTTTCCTAGTTCACGGAAGCGAAATCACAGCAGCAGAAAAAATCCACAGCTTGGGCATTAGTGGCGTGCATTCTCCAAAACCGAAGCACATATTTATTCCCTTATTTAAAACATACTCCTCGTTTTGAGTGGGGTTATAATCAAACTTACTGGCAATCTCCTCCTCTAGAGCCTTGACTTTGCCCTGCTTCTTGATGATACGGCTAACACGACACTTGACATCCTCTCTCGGTGATGTATTTATTCCTTCAACTGCAAGACCTTTTCCGAAAAAGAACAGCAACACATATATTGTACAGTACTTTGTGATTTCTTTAAATAACAAACACACAACACGCTATGTAAGTAAAGTTTTTGATACATGTACTCAACAACTCCCATTTCATATTGATGGATATTGTATAAAAGCTTAATCTTATGGGTGCAATACCAAGAACACATGTCATTTCATGGTGGCAGACTAAATGTTCCGTTCCATGAGGTAAAGCCAACTGGAATGGAACATTCAATCTGCCAATCTGAAATTATTCTTTCAATTCCACAAATATGAAACATCCATTACTTTATACAATGCTTAAATTTTCTCTGCAAACAAATCACTGTTTCCCTACCACACTGTTTGCATGGTAAATGTAACCCAAACCAAAATATGGTCCTAGGTTACTAGTTATATGAATCTATGTCCCTTCAAGAATGACTATTTATACTAGTCAATCCGCAGCTCACGCATTAATGAGGTCAAATCTTCCACTTTATTTGCACGGCCTATGACTAGAATCTGCAATGAGACTTGCACGTGCTTTAGCGAGAGTTTGACAGACTTCTTTTAACGAACTATATATTATAATATCTTTTTATTCAATTCTGAAGGTCGATTAGTGTTTGGAACAGCGCAGAGTTGTTCATTTTAATTTAATTTTCAGCAGGGATACACTGTATCTCCAAAATAAGTGGCAAAATGAACAACGCGCATGGAATTTTCAAGCACAACATGTGACAGCATTTTCAGCATTCTCAAACGTCATGCATTTTTATCAAAATTCTAAATCAACATTCTGTCAAACATGAAATTTGTCACGAACATATTGTACTCATTATGCACTTTTGATGCAGCCAAACTTAAAGATTATTTTCAGTGGATGAAAGGTTTAAGACCTCGCAGATATGCTGGTATAGTGACAGTGATTATAAACGGTAAGAGAATGAAGAGAGCCAAACTTTTCTCATCATTTCCCATCAATTTTGTGCTCTTTTTTTCGTTGCTTATTTTTTTTTAGTTATTTCTTAGGTGTTTTAAGATACATCAGTTGAAAATATTCTGAATTCTCCTTGTTGTGACAAGTTTTGAAATCAAGTCCTCTGGTGCAAACACTTTGATGTAAAACTTTAAATGAATTCAACTCAATTTGATTTGCACTGGTAGCCAACCAAATGTCCACCAAATGTACACAGTAATGCCTAATTTTCCCCAAATAATCATTTTTAATCTGAGGTGCTAATTTGTATTTTACATGATCAAAGTCACTCTTTTAGAAGTCTTGAAAAATTACATGCGGAGTTACATTTTGGTCCATTTTATGAGGATAATGCCTTAGAGTTTGTTCAACAATCTGCCAGCCAGTATGACCAAATATTCATTGAATTGAAGGTCAAATATTTGAATAGTATTATTCATTATTAATCATTTCTGGTAATGACACCCAGGATTCCTCAAAAGCACCCAACAATGCACTAGTACATGTAGGCACTGTAGCTGGCAAGCCTGAAAAAAACCTGTAGAGAGGAGACAATGAGATGCAGTTACAGTTTAAGAAGTGGGAGGAAACCCCAGAGGAATATTCCGGGTAAAACCCACAGAATCAGGTACGGCCTGAATACCCAATCCACATGCGGACCAGGCAAGGATTCGAACCCAGACCGCAGAAGTAGAAGGTGAGAAAAGAACCACTACGCCAACCTGACCCCCTAGGGAAACATTTGATTTGACTCCGCCCATATCTGAGAAAAAGTTGCATTCCTGCATGTTAAATGGTGTTTGGCAATTTGCTTACTGCGCTGAAAAATAAAAACATACCTGTACATGTACAATAAAATGTACGTGTACGTGTACATGTACCCGTGCACTGATGTCACTTGGGAAGAACAGCCCAAAATCTAAGCTGAACTGTCTGCCCATTGATCATGCACGCGACTTACAGTGTACGCCAACACATCTGGACAAATCAATAACATACAACAGCTGTTGCTGCTTCCAATTTGTTTAAAACAGGTGCCTATATGCTACATGTACATGTACACGTATTTGTATATACTGTACACTGTATGAGAAGAAAGAGAAAGAGAGTAAGAAATGGGCTTTCCAGTGATACCATATATACATGTATTTGTGGTTGTGACTTACAGACATGTATTTCATTCCGAAGACACAATGCAAGACAGATCTATGACAGGAAACACCATGGCGGTCAGGACCACTTTTCGGAAAAACATCTTTCAAAAAAGAACATGCACTCCGCCACCAATTTTGACAATGGGAATGTTTTGTAAGCACGCACTATTGTTCTTCATTTAAATTTCCAGAGCAACAGCAAAGAAGTTACAGACAAGCTATTGCCATGAAATGTCACCTACATGTAAGCTGTGTACATGTGCATGTGAACACTACCAAATTCTGCTGTTGAAATAGGTTGTGATGGAACTATTTCAGGAGAGAAATGTCCCACTTGATTCACAGACCTTTCCGTAAAGCAATAATTCACAGACCTACGCTCATAAACAAAATTTACACAACTTGAGTTGATTATTTCACAAACTAAACTGATGATTTCAAGTTGATACATTACTTGGACATTTTGTAGAAGCACTTCCATCGTTGCTTTAGACAAATGTGACAAGTGGTCGGAAAATGTCCGATGTCTGACCATCATTTCATGCCCTGGACATGCATTGCACAGGATCAGTAAGGGTAGTATAAAGCTACAGTCTGCAGCAACTTACCTGCAGAGTCATAGCCTCTGTACTCCAGACGTTTCAGGCCATTGATTAAAGTCTCTAAGATGACCTTGCGCTGCTTTGGCACCAAGTGGTTGATGTAGGCAAATATCCCTATTACAAAAATGAGGACAAAACGATTTATGAAGATTCCTATTTGCTTACTTATGCAAACTTTTGCAAGTGCTGTAGTTAGGCACATGTATGTATGATACATGTATCTGCAGCATCTACGTGTACGTGTAAGAAAGAAAGTTTTAGGATGTTTTGGGAAGTTTATTTCTGTATATGAACATACAGGTGCAAGTACATGTATGTACACGCATTTGTGTAGTCTCACTTCAATTGTCAACAGACAAAACTGGAACGAATTTTCCATTTTTCAGTCTGCACATACATGTACACAATAAAATGCTTGTATCCAGATGACTTGAAACTTAACTAAGCCTTCTCCCCACACAGAAACCAGTGGGTATAAAATACAGCAATTTAAAATCCCACAGTAGGAACCATTCAGAAAATAAATCTATGAAATCAAAGGCAAAATTATCACAAAGAATTCAAAAGATGCTTTAATAAAACACTCCAACTAAGGTACATGTTGACCAGAATACTTGATGCACACATGTACAGGTACATGAAAGTCAAAAGCATTGTCCGCACTGGATATTTTGGTCAAACTTACAAAGGCAATGGGTACTTTTCCCATTTTATGTCCAGTGCAGACATCAAAGGAAGTTTCCTTCTCAGTTACTTTTACTGAGCTACACATTTTTTACTGGCAAACTTCTACCCGTGAAAAATGTTCAGGTCACTTTTCCCAGGACGGAAAGTCCAGTACAGACAGCATGAGTTGGGAAAAGCATGGAAAGCGGAGCATACATGCACATCCTGCCCAAGAATGCATGCACGTAACATGTTTCAATGCAGTGTGCCATGTGGGGAGTATTTCCCATGCATTATTCCTCTTTTCGTCCCAATCACGGCAGAAATTATTACTGATACAGTTGGAAATTTAATCGGTGTTACAAGCGCCATTTCCAGAGGATAATTAAGAATGGCTGCGTTGAAGTGCACGAAGTGTGGACACTGGTAACATTTGACAATTTTTCATTTCATGCTCCTTTGCTTTGCTCATCCACATGAAAAAAATAGTTTGATTCTATGGAATGAACACTGAATGGAACACGACAGAAAAACATGGAATTGATTGTACGTTTTATTATACAGCATGGGAGAGGGGGTTTCACAACGAGGGGGGGCCGAGTGCTTTAACCCTAACACTCCTCAGTCCTCCAACAGGTGAAGGATTGAGGAGGGTTAGGATTAACCTTCTGCTTGTAAATAGGTACATGTACAAGACTTCAATACAAAATTGATAAAACCTTATAAAATAAATTATTTTGGAGCTTTCATTTTGAAATTAAAAGAACATGGGTCAAACATAAATAACATACAGATTAAGTAATGTGAAGTTTACCAGACAGTGTAAATTCTGAACAAAATACATGTAGCTGCAAAGATAACTATTGAAAAATTATCAACGTGGAGTGCATCCTAACAAGCAAATTATACAAACTTTATGTACATTGTAAATAAACATGAACAGAGTAATCTTCTGACCAAGTAAGGCTGAATAATTATAATCAATATAAAATTCAAGCAATTCGTATCAGCTAAGATTGAACTAGGAAACAATGCATATGCAGTTTGAGTAACTTCAATATTGCACGCAGTGTTGTAGTCGAGACCACTTAAGACTTTCACAAGACCAGCACAAGACCAACTCAAGACCTCCAGTCTGAATTCAAGCCACAAGCTATTCAAATGAACTGCAACAAAAGCATTCCTTTATCATTGTTCACCCTGTTACAGTACTTGGGACTGATCTTGTGCATGGTCTTGTGATGATCTCGACTACAACACTGATTGTATGCAACGATTCTGAAATGTTACAAAAATTCAGTATTGCGTTGATTAAACACAAAATTATATCAAGGAAATGTAATAAGTTGCAGGAGTAAAAGAGCAGACTATTTTGAAGAATTAATCCAAATTTTATGGGGCAGCGGGAACATCTGGGAGTTTCACAAAATTGCTGGTGGCAACCACTACACGCTGATGAATACAACTGCAATGAGCACGCGCGTACGTACTGATCAACGAAAAAAGTATGTACATGTAACCCAATCCTTGGATTGGCTGGTGTGTGTGTGTGTCACCATGGTCATTGTTTCCATCGGCCTGGTACCTGCCATTTTGCAATAATCCTGGAGGTCTCCGCTGCCCCATGTGCAATCAGAAGCCATCGCAGATTTGAAAAAACAGAGGAACTGTTTGTGAGGGCAGCATGAAAAATGTAAGTATTACAAATTAAACTTGATACTGATACATATATACAGGTATTTCTGCATAGAACACCAACAAAGCACGGTAATTTTGATAGTTACTACACTCATGATTAAATCTTTCCGTTAAGGCCATTAACGTAAGTCGACAAAACATTACAAAACTTCATTAATACAATTCTAAAATTCATCTTACCAGCTAGTTTGCAATCTGACTGCCTGACATGAATAACCCAAAATCCATTCAATGTGAAAGTGGAAACGTACCCCTGAAATATGCAAGTCAACACTATCAGGCTGGCGGTAGCAATGGCCTTATTTTTGACACTTTTTTGGGTTACCTTTATTTCCTGAGGCTGGTAAACACCGTCTGATTAACTACTTGTAAAAAGTGTCATGCTGCTGTTAACCACAAAATAAAAACCACATGTATCAAGAACCTGTGACTGGTAATTTAGTTTGGCTAGAAATAAAGCCATTAGAGTGGTCTGCAATCGGGGTGGCAGGAATCTAAAGTTGTACGTGTCCGGTATGTTCACTGTTGCTTGCAAAGCTCAAGTAGTCTATCTTCAATTAATGTACGTTCTTTTGGTCAAAATTTGAATAATTTAGCATACAATGGCAGATACATGTACAGTACTTGGACCCTACTAATCACCTGACCACGTCCACATGTTAAAAATGGCGATTTGTGGGGTCCAAGTTACTCAGACTAGAGATGAAATTGAATCTGATCTACTGTAATTCATGTCACTGTCCTAAATTAGTGACAACTCATTGCAACCCAGAGCATGGGGTTTTCAGGGTCAAACAAACCCTGAAATGTACATGGCACAGTTTGTTTTTTGTCCACTGCATTCCATTGTTTTTAGAGATGTGCATCCAACATATCATGAACGGTCGCAAAATGTCAAAAGGTTAGGCTACTTGTTCAACATTTGAAAGTCAGTCACTTGTTCAACACTGAATGTCAACGTCAAACGAGGAATGGGATGGCGCGGACATCCAGCACTCTCGCAAAATGGTGTAGGGACCAATGAAAACAGCAATTATGGCAATGTAAGCGTGACACCAGCCAGTCAGAGGATTGGGTTAGGCCTATACAATCATTTCTTTGATCAGCACATATGCACTTTCGTTGCAGTTGTTTTCATCGGTTGCTACCTGTCCCGCCATTTTGCGAAACTACCGGATGTCCACACCGCCCCATACTAGGCCTAGTACATGATGTAACTTCACATGGTTTGTGCATGCGCACAGGGGCATCAATGATGGTTGTCTGTATGTCGGCTTAGTATAATAAGCTTTTAAAGTCTTTCCCATCACTTCAAGTTGTCAATCCAATAGCCACGATAGCTAGAGTCAGGCAGTCGTAGCTAGTTGAGGGTTAACTCAAGGGTATTCAACTCAACATCAACATGATCAAGTCGGAACAAAATCAGAGCTTACCTAACGTTATGGTTACTTACCACACATATTGACGTCAGAATGCAGTGTTTAATAGATTAAGGGCATGTAGGACCTTGAACATTGAATGATGGGCTTTCCCTTTACTAATCGAGAAAATACTCTATAAATTTACGTAAGCGGACACCGTTTCTTCATCACCATGATCATAGCACAACTAACTTGCAACCAACAACATGTAACACAACGCAACCCAGCCGGCCGAGGCGAAGAAAGTTTTTGCGACGTGTCAAATTGACATTAACAGCGGCATGACCGGCGCGCACAGCTAGCTACGGTACGGTGTGGTACTACTTCAGCTGCAACAGCATGAGGGCGCCCTATCTTGGTGGTTTCCAGATGATCTCCAGCTCAACATGTGTGGGTGCACTTAACTAATTGAAATTAGAGCGCCATTGATATAGCAAGGAAAAGAGTGTATAATCAACAAATTTTGAAGCCCCATTGCAGGCAATTGAAGTCCCTAAGGCCCCTCCGTCAAATAAAATGTGTTGTTTGGTCGTTCAGGTCTCATTTGATTTTCAAATTTTAGTAGGTTAACCAAGAATTTTTTAATTATCCGCCAAAAGCAAACTCACCCCCCAAAAAGTGACCGTTCCCAAGTCTTCTTTCAGGTGCCTTTTTTCAAATGACATCCCCCACCTTTTTCAGGCTCTTCTGTCAATTTTTCAAAAACATTTTTGCCTGCTTTTCCTCCATATGGGAGCCCCTGCATCTGCAGAGGTGACCCTGGTCCATACTTACACAATCCCACAATTTCTTGGCCCACACAGACCCCTTTTTACGAAAGAATTTGTAGGGGTACTTTTTAAGCGCTTCCGGCTGGCGGAAAATTCTTCTTGCATTGGGACAGTGCCTCCCCTATGTTTCCAGAGTTGTTGCTTCAAGGCCGTTTTACTCGACGTCGTTTCAGTTCAGGCTTCATCTTATCATATCAGCCTGGTGAAGGTGTGCGGTTCACTGACCGCACCCTTCACCTTCGACAAAGGCATTCGTCAAGGGTGCCCGCTCTCGGGACTCTATTCGATTGCCATCGAGCCCTTTCTCCACAAACAATGTCAAAACTTAATGGTCGCAGCTTCCTCTTTCTCAATACTGAAAAGTATTGCTCGGTTTCGGCATACGCCGATATTTCAATTTTTATCACCTGTGACACCGGTTTTAACACTGTAAGCGAGACCTCTTCAGCAGAGCCTCTGCTGCAAGTTTACACACTCAAAAATCCCAGGAGTTGTGGGTCGGGTGGCCAATCAACTCGCAGCTTCTAAAGTCAGTCACGTCTTGGCTGTTCTTTCTCTGTTCTTTCTCCCCCCCCCAAAAAAAATATCCAGAGCGAACTCCAGGAACTGCTGGTCGAATTTGTCTGGTCCGGGAAAAGACATCTTCCTCAAAAAAGACTCTTTATCAAAGACCCAACAGGGGCGGACTTGGTCTCGTCTGCCTCCAAGCACGCACTTGCCTACAGAGCGTCCGCTTTTTCGATCTTTGTCCTCATCCCGCCGGCCTACAAAATGGTTTCCCACTTCCTTCAACGCTACACAAAACTCAGCTTTGACTTTCAACTATTCCAAATAGATCTTGATCCCAAATTTCTCCACGGTATTCTTCCATTCTACGGCGAGTTTTCTGCGTGCTCGGAGCTCGAATTGAACTGTGACCTTCCGATTCGATCAGCCATGTTATCAATAGCTTTCTCTTAGCTCATTCGGCTGACGGTGAGAATTCCGTTTGGCCGCTCCTGTCGTGCGGGATCGGGATCGTTCGTCACCTTCTGCACCCCTCCACCGGACGCTGGCTGGAAGCTCAAGATCTTCGCTTCGCCCCTTCAAGAATCCGTCCACCTTCCCTCCGCCTCGTCAATATTCAGCTCCGTCGTCTGCCTCCGCCTCGCACTGCGCTCTATTTTCCGACTCTCTTCGGCTTCTCTGGACTCCGGGCTTCCTCGGCTCCTCTCCACACCATCCCCCTTCACGCCAGACTCCTCCAACGCCTTTTTTCATCGCTCCCGACCTCAACGGACTCTCCCTCTCATCCAAGACTCTCTACGACATCTTCAACTGCTCTGTCAACTCCCATCCCGCTATCACACTGACCCACTGGCACCGAATTGGATTTCTAGAACTATGACCGCTCTATCCCCTGGACTCAAACCTACAAGCTTCCAAATTCCACAAAAGAAGATGACATCCAGTTTGAACTACTTCACAGCGTTCTTCCGCTCATTCATCTCAACCCAGACATCTCTCGCTGCTGCGGATGGTGTGGAGAGGAAGGAACCGTCAGTCACCTCTGCATTCTCTGCCCGGCCATCCAACCGCTGCACTCAACCTTCTTCAAGCTCTCCCGTCTGCTTCCCGACCTTCATCTCGACTTCGACCTCTACTGGATCCTCGTCCCCCACGCCAGGGGTCGTGACCGGAACGCAGTTAAACTCGCGAATTTTCTCATCGTCAGCCCGAAAAACGTCATCTACTGGTCTTACCGCACTACCAAATTTCCTGATCCCTCCTAATCTGGTCCCACCGTCTTAAATCCAAAATCATCGTTGAATATCAACATTATGGTCTAAATTCCTCTCTCAGTCTCTTCTTTGATAAATGGTACATCAACGATTCCCTGTTAACTATTGTCAACAAAAAGATGACATGGCTGATCTGATCACTATTCTATCTCCACCCCCCTCTCCCTCTTCTATTCCCGGAGGAGGGCCACGGCAGTGGGCAGAATTGCCCACGTCCAGAGACGCCGGTGGCCTACTCCACCCCTTCTCACTCTCTCCCTGTCAACCTGGCCTGAATCCGGGGCAGCAGCTCGCCTCGGCGAGATATGGAAATCCCTCTGCCCCGTGTCTTGGGCCATCTACCTCTCCCTTCCTGTGACCCTTGCTGAGTTACACAGAATGTTGTTCTTGGTCAGTTTGACTCATATATTGTTTATTTTCTTACATGTGTTGTAAAACATTCCTATATCATTTTGGCTGTCAACTTGACTGTATGTTTCTCATTGTTCACCTTATTTAACTTTGTTAATGTTTGTCTTCTCATTTGTAATTTTTTCAACTGTTAGTATTGTTATTATTGTTACTGTAATATTGTATCCTTTTATACATCTTCGTGTTTTGTTATTGACCTTTATTTTGTTCACTTATGTTTAAACAAATCTTTTACCTGTAAATAATTGAATTTCTTTCAGTTATTGTAATTGTGTTTGTTTCAATGGAACGAAATAAAGTTTCTATTTGAAAAGTTAAAAAAGTCTTTGTTTCTGTCCAGCTCTCCATTAATTGTGAGTTTCTTATGGTTTCAGACCTTGATTGTTCCAAACTATATTATTAGGTTGTTATTTAACTGTTATAGCTCCTTTCTGTTTACATTTTGTAAGTTTGGTTTGGTTTGGTTTGGTTTGGTTTGGTTTGGTTTGGTTTAGTTTGATTTGCTGGCTGGCTGGCCGGCCCAATTATCTGCAGGTACAACCCCCCCCTCTCCAAACTCAATGAGAAATCTCAAATTTCTTGGTACCTAAAGATAAATCACGAGAAGTCTCGTCTGTGCCATCGAATTCTCGCACAAACGAAGACAATCGAGATAGCTCTGTACCAGGACCAGTACAAGAAAATTCAATGCATCAAAAAGGTACGAAAACCCAAAATATAGTAAGGAAGGAAATCCCAGAAAAACAAGTAGTAAACCTTGCGCGCAAGAGTCCTCATTGGACTCGACTTTAACATCTTCAATATCTCAGTCTTCACATTACATATCTGTATGGGGCTCTCCTCCTCAACCAGTACTACTCTTTTCTGACGTTGTAACCAAAAGTAAACAAATTGACTCTCCTGAGAAAATAGTGCACCATACTGAAGCTGGCAATCTTGTCATCCTTAACACCCCATATCCCCCCTAGAAAACTTACTAAGCAAGTCAGATCTCCAATGGAAGTAATCACACCTAGCCCAGCTCAAGCCCTTGGAGCAACCACTCCAACTCCTTCACCAGCCAATTTTCTAGCTGTTGCTGAAGGAGCAGAGTCTGACAGAGACTCAATTTCTTGGGAAGACACAGATCAATCCCAAGATATTCAAGAGCATGGTCTACCAAAAAATACAGGACCACTGTGAAACCAAGAAAAAGCCAGATGAAACAGCGAGAAAATTCACCAATAATATCCCGGTGCTTGTCAAACAATTAGAGCCCCTACACAACAGCTCCCTCATTCAAAAGAAGACACAACATAGAATTCGGAAACTGATCAAGACACTTGATCCTGATGATCCTCTTCATTTTTAATCCCTGAAATGCATCATTTTCATCAGCTTTTCTTACTTGTTATGGTTCTTTCCTTATTATTACTGAATACTGGAGGTTGTTCGTCCTCCGTGAAAAACTCCGCGATACGATAGTATATGAAACATTCATGTAACAATCCTAACGTTTTATCTTTCTTCAGCTAACCAATCATTTAAAAATCCAATGACAAGTGTTGGAATGCATGGCCTTACACATCTTTCTGTCATGAAGGCTGTAATCGTGGGACTGGAGTTACTACTCTTATCAAAGTTAATGATATCAATATCCATTCTCATGATATTGTATTGCCTGGTTATGTTAATTACAGTCGCCTTGAGCTGAATAATACAACGTACCACCTACACCATATTCTTATTCCTCAAAGTAACAATCAAGCCTTGAATGTTTGTAAAGAGATACACTTCCATTGCAAGCTTTTAGAAAATGAAGTTATTATATTTGGTGGAGATTTCAATTGTACTCATAATCCCTCTCTGGACAGATTTTGTAACGACATTGAAATGAGACGTTCGATTGCCGTTACTCTCCATAATTTATGCTCTAGTCTCAATCTTTGCGACATTTGGCGAAGAAGTAATCCTGATACTAGTCAATTTACCTGGTCCAGAAGCAATCCAAATAAGCCTGGTCTCATGTCTAAAGCCAGACTGGTTTCAATACAGTAATGACATAAATACGTTTTCGACATAGGCTATTATTTCAACCTGGAAAATTCAATTTCTGCTTCAAAAAACATGAACAAAAGTCGTCTTCCTTGTGATGATATTACTGAAGACCCGACTCAGATCAAATTTCCTGTTCGCAATTTTTTTAAAAATCTGTACAGTCAAGCAGACACTGACGAAGGTGCTCAAGTTACTATTTTAGATGATTTCCCTACCTTGACTTCCTCCGATTTAGAAGATTATGACTGTTCAGTCACAATCGAAGAAGTTGATATTGCTGTTCAAGAACTTAATAAAAACAAAACCCCTAGACTAGAGGGTCTTTCCTCTGAGTTTTATCAGTTTTTCTGGCAAATTCTTAGAGACGAACTTTTTTATAGTTTTTGAATTTTCCATTCACCAAAATCTTTTACTCATCTCCTGTCGCAGAGCTGTAATTGTTCTACTTCCTAAAATGGGGAATCTTCTAGATGTCTCTAATTGGCTCCCCGTTTCTCTACTTAATGTCGTTTACAAGAGTTTTGCGAAAGTTCTTGCTGATGGACTTAAAGATGTTATCGGTAATGTCATTCAGATGGACCAAAGTTACTCTGTTCCTGCCTGGTCAATCTACTTATGAGAATGTCAACTAGACACGAGATATTTTATTATATTCTAACTACCATAATATTCCTTTAGCGGTCGTAAATCTAGATCGGAAAAAGCCTTTGATAATATCGATCATGTCTTCCTTTTCAGAACATTTTTTAGAAGCTATGAAGTTTGGCAAGCAATTTATTTCTTCTTTAAACTTATGCATAATCACTCTCAAAGTCTACTTCGTGTTCATTTTTCGGAGCAAATGAGTAATGAACAGAGCAAGGAATAAGCAAATGAGCAATGAAATACGCGGCTACATATTTAACGATTTCATCGGTTTCGAAAGTGAACCCCGTGTTTGTCACTGGTGTGACAAAAGCTTTGGACGGAGACCGTTGGAGACATGTAGAAAATTTGCGTGGAGCACAGGGATCTAAAGGGGATAAAGTTGATGATGACCCTGAAGGTATTCATGCTGAATATTCTGATCGGTAATTCAGAGCCTGATTTTAAATAGCGTAGATTTGAAGAATCAGAAATAGCAAATTGTGGAACTTAATCTATGCAGGGTGAAACGAAGGTTTCGAAGATGATTTGTTATCCGAATCGGAAAGAGAGGATGATGAAGAGTTGGAAGACAGTGTCGCCAATTTACTTACAATACTTAAAGACCATTTCTTTTTCAGTGATATACATGTTTCAAACTGTCAAATGCAGTTTATTTCATTCATGTTCTCAAAATTCTGTTGAATGAAAAACTGACCTCATTGGGCATGGTCAAACGAGCCTGTCTTATTCGACGAAACATAAGACTGAGTCTTCTGTGATTTGGGTCGATAATACTTTGAAACCATGCAGAGACGTGTTCCCAAAATATTCATTGAGCCCTCTCCAGCCCTCTGTCTATTACTAAAACAAGTGAAATTGGGAAGCCTAGTACTAACGTCTGTCTTACATCATGAGTCACTTTGTGTGATCAACGTTCTGAAGACCTGAAGACGTTCTGAAGAACAAACAACTCCAACCATAGTCAGACTGAAGGTATTCTCAAAGCAGCTTGTGTCACTAATTTATTCACACATAGTGGCAGAAGAGAGAAAGAGGGTGAAATGTGGAGCATACATCATGCATTATTGGTTCATCGGGCAATGGACCAACAATGAGCTCATGATAACATTTTTATTTGAAACAAGAAAGGGTTTCAAGTTTGGAGGGAGGGGACACAGGAAAATCTTTCCACCTGTTGTCTGTGAATGCTTGAAGTATATTTCATGTATTCCCGCAATGCATGAACAGAAAAGAAATGATTATGTACAACAGCTATCTAGACAAGTCTACCAGACTGGCCAATGCAAACAATACAGAAACCATTGGAAACAATTCCCAAAACACTGACAAACTGCAACCTGCTAACCATCTGCAACACACACAGTAACTCATGCCATTGATAAGGCCCCTGTACAATGAATGTTCCTTTTGTTTTCTTTCTGTACCTAGCTGTCCAGATCTGCAGCATGAATTCCACCTTTCAAAGCAGGTTTGAAAGAGCACCTCTAAGGAAAACACGTTTGCTCTGATTTTATCTGTTCAAATAAATATGGAAGCATATATGTACATATCAAACGCAGGGTTGTCTTCAGAGCTAAACAAGCTTAAAAAGGAATTTTTCTGTTCATGCCTAGATGCAAATTCTGAATGTAGATTACGTCATTCTGAGAAAACGAGGTGAACCCTGCACTGTGTTAATTGTGGATAAACCCTGCGAATGCCAAATAATGCATGCAGCCATTGTAGCTCTGAAGACAAATGACACTGCATTCGATATGTTTGCTTCCATATTTATTTGAACAGATAAAGTCAGAGAAAACATGTTTTCCTTAGAGGTGCTCTTTAAGACAATTTCTTCAAACAACTTTTATTAAAATCAACTTTGCGGCCAAACTGGGAAACCACAGTAAACAATTCATGTACTAAGGATTATTGTGACACTGGTGTTAAATGTAAATAAATAAATCCACTGAACGATGCAAAATCTAGACTACTGCTGTCAAGCGATCTTCCCACCAACAGAAACTCTGTCCCTATATCAACAACTGAACATCTCCATGTACCGGCTGTTTTACCATCTCCACAAACAGAACATTAGAGTATTTTACAAATTGGGTTTTTACATGCAGTTTGAAAAACACATTGGTTATACTCATGGTAAATACATGTGGCAATACCCGTAAAGGCTGTAAATGGATTTTTATCATGTAAATTGCACCAATGGGTCATAATCCAAATTTCTAAATACGTGTACATTTCTTTTAAACACGTATACATGTCCCAAGATATTATAAAGCTTTTCTAAAGGGCATTTACTGAATATTTAGTTTCCTTGGCGAGTCAGTATAGCAGGTGGCTCTTTCCTCACCTTCCCTCTCTGTAAACCAAGGATTGAATCTCACTTAGGGTGGGCACCTTGACTGTTGTGTTTTCAGTCCAACCCATTTCCATGGATGTTTTCATGAAATATTCATCCAGATTCTCTCCAACCCCTAAAAACTGAACATTTCTTTATTGGCTTTATTGTCACTATTAATCATCTTTGAAATGGCATTTAATGTGCTGTTGGATGAACAGATATGAATAAATAACTACATAGGAAACAAATTTCACAATTTGTGGCCGCTAGATGTCTATTTATACTGAAGAGGTCTATAATTGAAAGTTACATGAACACATCAGCAAAGCAGGGAACACCTGACAACTTTAGCATTGTTAACAGTACAAAGAGATATTCGTCTATGGTGTAACTGTTAAGGAAAAGCAGTTTTGAAATAAAAGGGAAAAATGAATTAACTTTACTTCAAATCTTTGACTTAATAGAACCTAAGTCTGAATGATATCTGAAGTGTTTTGGAAAAGTCGTGACTTTTCCATTCGTAATTTAAAATTCTCTGGCGCAGTGGGAGGTACATGTACGTGTCTTTTATTCAATGTTGCCCAGGGAACATTTTAAGCAGCATGGTACATCTTAGCAAGTAGTCACTTCACACTTATGAAAACCCCAGCAGTGGGCAGTTGTTGTACAGCTATTGTACAGAAAAACCAACAGACAGGTACTGTCAGGTACATGTATTTTGTTGAGAACCAAAACGTCCGACATGATGTAGGATTAGCCCATTGCACAGGCCTTCCTGGTATACAATGATAACTGTATGTGTCTACACCCAGTCTTCGTTCCATCTGCATGTTACAAACTCTGTGTCATAACAAACATGCACATTTCTCACTTTTTATATCTGCCTATATTTCATAATTGGGACTGCAGGTACACTCATCATGCTCCCATAAAACGGTGCACAACAGCCAACAATATTTTACAAACGAAAAATTCCCTTCACATTGTTTTTTTCTGCAGTCATCATTGAGAAATCTTTAAAACCACACTTCTTGGCACTGGATTTCAACACTCTTTCTTCTAACATGTACAACAAGCCAACAAGCTACCGGTACATACATGTATTCATAAAGTAATTCATCTATCAAACAACAAGCCCAAACAACACTTTCAGCAATTAAAATATTGTTCAACTAAGAGGAACAATTCTCAAAGGCCATAAAGACAAATCCATCATCAAATGGGGTTTTACTTGTGATGAAGTACCCCAAACCAAAGCTGAAGTACATGTAGGTAATTTTGATGGTTAAAAATTCCACTACCCCACTGTTACTTTTCAGTGACCCCGAGTAAACATTCTGTCTGCAGAAATATTGCAGTTGCTGGCAATAAAACTTGATTTTCCTACTGCTGGCTCGAAATTTTCAGCCTGGTCGAATTTTGGTCTGTCTTTCTTTCAGGAGGGGTAAGGAGAAATACGTTTTTTTTCCATCATTTTCACAAGAGTGCATATAGAAATCTTTTTTCCCGACATTTCACCTCCTGCAGCATGCGAACTGACATGGTGAAATAAATGATTTTGATGCTAGGTACAAACGTCATGCTTGTAATTTTTTTCAAAGCTTGCATGGCAGCCAGCCCCCCTTTCCCAGAGTACAGTATTTATATTCATGAAAATGATGCAAAACAGGATGATTCAAAAGATAATTTTTGAAAAGGAGCAATGTCAATTTCATGAGAAGTTTTACCCATCCAAGACATGAGCATATGTACACTAGCAAACTACTAAATCCAAGTCCTGGTTTCTTCATTTTAACATGTAATTGTGAGTTATTTCCCTTTAAGGTGTCAGCTACTGTATAATTTCCCAACAGCTGTTTATGGCTAAAGGTTCAGTTTTATCCTCATCATACAATCAACCATTCAACAACTGTCAACTCTTGACGACTGCCGAACATGTATTAACAAAGTTAAGCATACACTAACTACATTTTAGGTACGATTAATAATCATTCAGGGGAAGTGGGCCCTTCCAGGTACAATGTGCACACATCGTCACTGTCACCACAAACAAAGGGTCGTTTTGGGCAGAGAATTTACTGTCCCTGTAATTTTCATTTCTTTATATGTCTTGCGCTGAGAATTGACAGTTGCCGTAATTTGCATTCTCACAAACTAAGACAAGTCTTAGCACATATTTGTTTTCATGAAAAGAAACCTGTTAATTTATTTCCTAAGTAAGAACTATTTTACTTCAATGCCGCTATAATCCACAAGTATATGAATGAGTAATTCATGTCAAACGTTTGTAAAAACCCAGATCTATAGAAATCACCGGTCAGTGCGCCAAGTGTGTGCACATACCCCCTTACTTTTATGTTAGTTTGTGAAACTTCAATTGTTCATTGCACAGTTTTCACAGAATGTACCAATCCCGGATTTGTGTGTTAGTTCTCGTCTTCCATGACATGTACATGTATATACAGTAAAGATCTGGCAGCAGTACAAAAGAAACCATCTGTCTCAAAGGCATAGCTGAGATATATGTCTGAGGCAATAATCCAAGATGCACTGTTACAAGTGAGCCTCAATTTAAGATGTACCTGCATGTTGCGAATTTGGGAAGTACATGTATTTAGGTAAGAAATGGTAAGGGTGACCTATGTGCTGATCTGTAGAAAGGGCATCTATTTCTCTTCACACCAGCTGTTCTCCTTCCTAACCTGCAAGAATAGGTAAAAAAGACAACAATGACAATGATTACCACTGACCAAAGATTGAAGTTTAACATACTTTTAAGACTGCACATGAGCAAAGAAGAAAAGAACTTGAGTTTACATAACATGCCAAACATTTAACCAGTCATGATATTAATCTGAATATGACCCATTCAACTCCGCTATGTGCTCTGATACAGATATATATGTACATGTGTGTTTGTAAATTTGATGCAATGTAGAGAACTTCAATTAAAAAGGGTAAACTCTCTGGCTGCCTGAATCACCAACGGCGGAAGTTGGGGGAGGGAGGTAAGCAGGGGGTCCACTATACCCCCTCCCCTTTGCTTGACTTGTTCAGTTTGTGGCTTTTGCTCATTGAAATAGTCTATTGGCTTTGGTTATTGCGTAGATTTGGTGTACAAATGCACAAAAGCTATGATGATGAATTAAAACAGTTCCTCACCAAGTTCTAAGAGATATACATGTACTTGAAATGTGTTGCAGAAACAAGAAAAATGTTATTTTCAAATCAGAATTTGTGTTACTGTCACAGTACAGGAGTTTAATGTTAAGCATACATTTACATACATGTAGTTGTGTGGTGTATACATGTACATGTACATTATGTACATTTAAGTTGCACATCTGGCATATCTCATGCACATCATCACTCCAAAAATAAGGTCAGGATACCGGTAGGTAACAGGTCTCCTAGTAGCTAGCACTGAAGCATGGGCGTATGCGACTTTTTCATGTCTGAGTCAACTTTTCGCAGTCAACCGCACTTTTATTTAGTGCCAGTTTCCTAAACATTACAGGAATTGCTCGCTTTGCTGCAGCTGGAGCAAAAGTCGTGTTGGTCAGGGTGAGTGTTAGATACGAAGGCATACATGTACATAATCACATACCTGCAAATGCAGCCATGTTTCATAGCAATGTGTGCATTCCTTTCAAAATTGTGTACAAGTCATGTTTTACCATAGGTTGACTTTGAGTAGGCCTATATGCACTAATGTACATATGCAGGCCTGAGGCAGCGCTGGTGCTTGGGCTATAGCCGACATTTCCAACATGTATTTCCAAGAATGGATTTGTACTGGGGAGATGTTAATTAATTTTGGATTTTTGCCCTGCCTGACATGTATTATAACACTGTATACTCAGTGTCTGCCCCCGAAGGCTGGTGAAAAACCACAAGCGTACTCAGGTGGGACTCGAACCCACAACTTCCTGCTTACGAGTGCAGGTGATTCACTTACAGTAAGATCTCGTTAAGTCGAAGCTCAGGGGAATGGACGAAAAGTTCGAGTTATCCGACGTTCGAGTTATCGAAAGTTACTCGCTTCAATGCACATGCAACCTTACTGGCTTACGGCAGTTGGCCTGCAAGCTGAGTCGAACACAATGTGGATTTTAGGCTATCCCTACTGTGCAAGTTTTCCTCAAACATCATCATTAAACATGTTTTTATGTGGTATATAAATAATTTAATTGTTCATGATTTTCACGCAAACTATGGAACATACAGTTTACCATCTGGGGCAAAAAAATCTGAAGTTACAAACAGCTGGTCATAGTTTGACAAAAAATAGTAGTATAGGGAATATCTCCATTTTCAATCTCAATATCGGCACAAGTTTGGTAACAATCATGAGGACATGAAGTAAAAATGTACTGGTCAGATACCTAAAAATATTAACTACAGTCATTGGAAAAAGTCTAGGACCACCCATACAAAATGCATTAACCTGAAGAGAAACTAAACTTAAACCAATCAAACATGGCGACTTATGTTTATTTTCAATGTGTAACCTTAGTATCTTGGTTTAACAGCTATTTGACTACATTTCCATGATTTGAAATGTTAACAGTCTAATATTTAGTGTGCTCTCCTTTATTTCTGATGACTTAGACTGGCTTTTTTACCCATGCTGCCTTACAGACAAAATGTCATACAAGACCTGCCTTTGCAAAAAATTTCATTCAAACGGGTGTATAGCACTACACCGATGTTATGCACCACTATAAAAACATGTTAAATAATCATTCAATGAGACAAGCAATGCTGGCCCAGTGACAGAAATACATGTACCAATAAAATTCCAAGTGATCTTAAACTTTTGCAAATCACTGTAATTGCTTTCTTTCTTTATATTATTCAAGCTATTGCTTCGCTTCTTGTATTCTCCGACCTATTCCTTACCTGCTCTTCCTCAGCTGGACTGAAGTCATTCTTGATGTTGAATGTCTTCCTGATCTCTTCAGGGGTTTTGCCCTTGATCATGTTGGCTACAGTCTTGCAGGTGGAATCCAAAAGTCCTTTGATATCTAGGTAATTTGCTGCCTAAAAGATAAAAATCCAAGATTATAACCAAAGACAACTTTAACACTTTTGATCTGCGGTGGTAATAAAAAAGTTTGAAGACTGAATTTTGTATCCCAGTGGATGAAAGCCAGTATTACCTTTGAAGGTCCTCATACGTACATGAACACCCACTGAATTCTAAACAGCACCCTTGCACTGCAAATTTGGCTGATGTGGACCAATATTCATGGAGTTGCTCAACACAACAATGTTAACAGAAAATATGCAAACAGTATGTGGTGGACCAACATCTACATGTATGTCACAGAAATTTATCTGAAGGGGAAGGCATATTTTCCCATCTACCAGCACTTATAATATTAAATCATGTCATATGTTTCCATATTTACTAATTTCTACTTCCACAGAGGAAAGGAAGACTTGAATCCCTTAAAAACCTGTCATTACTGAAGGCCAAAGATGAAAAGTATTTTCCCGTTCTGACATGGGCGCACAGGAGGAACGGGCCAACTGTTCTTATTCCCTGTACTCCTGAATTCACACGGGCCTCGTTCAGAAAGTGGGATAATGCCCGAAACTGCATAACAATAGCTCAAAGAAACAGTCACACTTGATGCCCTCCAGACGTCAGTACAATGGATCTGTGTGGCAATGACAATGGGCCTGGAAACCTCACATTTAATATCCTATGAAGGCCTATATCTCTTGCAGATGACATATACATGTAGTTGGCAGATAGGTTGAGATTTTCACAATGTTAATGATCAACAAATCAAAGAAGTCTAGGAAAGTAGAGTTGGAAAGAACACACAATCAACGCCGACCCTTTTACTCAGGCTTACAAATGCAAAAGCAGGGTGCTTGGTTAACGTTGTTACAGTGGTGTGAGTGGCCGGCCAGCCACACTGTGCGGCATGGCAAAGCACGACCTGGAAACTGGTGCCCAATGTTGCACGTAAGTAAAGGTTTCTTAAACTTGAGAACCAGTTCATGTGTGTAAGGACCGGACGTAAGAGGGCGCTGAAATTGGGGAATTTCCGTTAGTTTTTAATTGGTGGGAATCTATTTCTATCTAATCTAATCTATTTTGCAGAAATGTTCTTTTAATTTATGGAACAGTAACTTTCATTTTTAATGTGCGACAGGGTTGCGCGAGTTTATTTTGAAAGGGGAATGTGAAACATTGGTTAACTGAAGGGAACTTTAGAAGGCTGTGATTTCCAAAACCTTTTAAAATTTTCTTTCCGTTGACCATGTGGGGTATTTGATGAAGATTGTTTATGCATTCGTTTTCCTTGCCATTGTTTTCATGTGTGTCGAATCGTGTCAAATCAGTCAAATCACGTGCCTACTGTTTACACAGCGGTGCGCGTACATACGATGCAGCTGGGCTGGATACGAGCCCCAGATTTCAAATTTTACTCATATAAAATGCACGCGAAATACCAGTCTTGTAAAACCTCATTCTCAAGCACGAGGACATGTGAGGAATGCAAAAAGTACATGTATAAAAGTATATTGTAAATATAATGCAGACATACGCGGTGAAATGCCATTAGAAAAATAGTCCAAAGTGTCTGATTCTCGAGAAGACAGAATAAACAAGTGAGTTGACTCTTCTGTTCATTTTGGCATACATGCGAATGCGATATGAATATTTAATTAGCATATTGTACCCCCAGTTTCTCAACGGATTTGCACGATTCACGAGAGTCAACTTTTGAGGCCCCAAAAAACGGAATTCCAGGGAAAAAAACACAGAAATAACATCTCTGTAACAATGCAACCGTGACGCATGCATTGTCTAGTCATTCATGAATCATGAAAGTTCAGTTCCAACTAAGGAACCTCCACTGCTAAGAGTATATTTATGTATGTACCGGTACATGTCCTCAGAAACGTGAAAATTTTGCATGTCACCCATGCAAGCATTAGAGAAATAAGAGTACCAGACTGATGTGAGAGCTAAGGGTGCTATTTACAGTGGTATAAAACACTAGCATTAGGCATGTTAGGAACCTCAGGCTAGAGAAATATGCAAAGACGTGAAAGGTAAGGGAGTCCCAGAAGTGGAGTTGACAAGTGCCAAGAATTAGGGTCTGGTACAACGTAAATACTGAAAATCTCCATTTAGAGTTTTGACAGGTAACAGTCGCTCACAAGTACATGTAACTCACCAGGATTAGTTCAAACAGTGTGCCCTGGTCCACCTTCAGGAAATCCAGGTCATAACCACACAGATCATCTGTTCTCTTCTCCCTGTTCTCATCGTCCTCTGGTGGTGGGGGATCATCTTTGTGGTAGGTGCACCACTTGATGACTTTCCTCAAGATAGCTGAGTTGACATTAGGGAGAGGGATGGCCTCATCATCATCTTCATCCACTCCAAGATCTATAAAAGGAAAGAAAATAAAGTCTGGAGTGCTGCCAAGCAAATACATTTGTTATTATTTTAACCCTGACAAATAAGATATGGTTTAAATTTCATGAAATGTTCATGAAACATGGTCATGGTTAATCCCTCATTATACATGATAGCTTTCATAATCATGAAATAATAACTTTCTACTTCACAATTTTCAATTAAAATTTAATCAAATGTACATTTCATTATAAACACTAAAGCTAGTTAAACGGTACAATGTCATCTTTTTGAAAAAAAAAAGAAATTCCTATTTTTTGAAAAAATTTTATCAGAATACATGTATTGGCAGTATGTTTGATACTAGAAAATTTTTTCTCAACCTGAAAAACTGAATAAACTTTGTCGTTTTCCCCAAAAAATTCACTGATTTCTCCCCCCACCCACATGTACATATAGAGTGGGACATACCTACCAGATTACCAATATACATGCATTTATTTCCTAGTCCATTACTTCCATTCGCTAAATTCTCGATCAACAGTAGTGCACCCTCATTTTCCCAACTCCCACAAGGCGGCCGCCATGTTCTTGCTCTTTTTTGAGTCCTCCTCACATGGCCTCAGCGCACTTTGCGCTGTGTGGGGAGGAGGGAGGGAGACTGGTAATCTCATAGGTATGTAGTAGTAGACTCGTCCCACTCTTGGTGGGAGGGAGTCTACTGCCTGCAACCCACGCAGATTACCAATACATGTACATATGCAAAGCAGCACCAAACCTACTACTAGCTACTGAGATCCCGTCTTGAAGATGGCCAGCACGGCCAGTCCATGAGAATGATCCCCCTGCAAAACATCACTGAGATAACAAGAGATGTTCAGGGGAATTTCAAACATGCAGCCTTACAAATGTCTGAATTGGGATGCCTTTAAAATAAGCCCAGGACCAAACGGCCCGAATATCATGAGCATGTATATGGCGTCGGCACTGATCATCAGGACTAGTAGGCCAGTCTGAATTAGCAGATTTAATAGCCGAAACTACCCACCCGGCAATAGTGTCTCTGGAGGCTGGACGGTGAGGCTTGGTACATGTAGATGTGATGAGCAATTGAGTCACTTACCCTCAGGTGTCCTCAGTCCGGTGGAGGTACCATTTAAGCATCCGGACGGGGTATATATACCTCACTTTATCTTTATCAAACAGGGGAAGACTCTTGAGGGCAGAATTAATTGACTCGTGGGGAATACTCATAGCCAGAATAGCTGATTCCCTATGGGAAGCTGTAGCACAAAGAGATACCCTGGCAACTGCTCAAACCCTGTAAACAAGGAATCGTCGAGGTAGTGAAAGGCCATGACCACAATCTTGGATGAAATATCAGAGCCCTCCTTGCAATGTTGCAAGCCCAGGACAAGAACTCGGGAAGGAGGAGGAAAGACATGCAGCAAATGCCCGAGCGAGCAGCTAAATCAACATCCTTCAGAGCAGACTTTTTGCTGAAGATTCTTGAATCTTGAAAAACATGGGTAGACTTGCCCCTGTTCGGAAAAATCTCATCTCTGGCCAAGTTGGGGAGTCAGGTACCGAGAGATACTGATCAAAATCACCCATTGCGAACTTAAAAAACTGGCATGGGTGGAAGCCTGAAGTCCACCGCTTGGCCTTCACCAGTCTGTCCATAGCAACTATACAAGAACGATCAAAGGGAAACTCTGGGAAGACGAGGTCTCTGCAGGTGGACGATGCTTCAACAAGGGATGCCCCCCCTCCCGTCAATGACGGGGTGGGCAGTCCAAGGACTTGTATCACTGTAGAAGATGTCAGGGAGACTTGGACAGCAAAAGATCATTCACCGAAAGGGATTCATCCTCATTCAGAGACTGACCTGAACCAGAAATATACAAAAAGTCAGGACCAGAAGCAAAACTCACAGTAAGGACTGTTATCCATCGCGGATTGAGACGGCCCCAGAGGGTGAAAAATGCCCCGAAGCTCAGCCGAAGAACCGCCCTAATGGGCCAGGGGTAGAGAATAAAGCTCCGGATCCACATGCATAGTAGTCAGAGGAGGAGGCAGGTATCACCACACAAGTTCTGAAATGGACTCGGAAAGGGCACTTAGCATTTCTTTGGTTGAGGGGAAGCCTTTTGAGGTACGATGTTTCTTCTTCTGATGTGAAGAATGATGTGAGGAAGAAAAAACCCCAGACAATTTGCATTTCTTGCCCAACAACCACTACACAAGCTACGTGACCACAACGTGGCTATGCCAGGGGGCCAGCCGTTATCCTGCTGCAAATTGAGAAGGTACTCCAAGAGCGAACTCACATGTTCGACAGTACAGTACTGTAGCAAATGCACGGTTGTACACGGGCCGATCGAAAGGGAAGGAATAGTAAACCTACGCACTGTCCTATTCCGTAGGTTAGCAAGAACCAAAACCACCACACCACTGTCCTTACTAACCAAGCGATCCCTGGCCCGCGAACACATGTACTACTCGAAGCAGAGAGCGAACTCTCAATATCTCCCTCTAGAACTTGAATCTAATACACAAAATGGAAGCACTAACGAAAGAATAAAATAGGGAACGCCAAAATTTCTGGCGAAATACAAAACACAATAACGAGACAACCCCTCTCAAAAGTATTCTGATAAGATAACCAACAAAAATACAAACAAGAAATGCCACAACTGGGGCGAAGCTAAATAGAAAGTATTTTCAGATAAGCAATGGAAGTAAGCAATATATGTATACAAATATACACAGAAGAAAGCTAAGAGCACCTCCAGGCGAGAACTTACAAAAAAAAAAATACAAGAACTAGGTCAATATACAGGTCAGTCTGCCAACCTGCACAAGGCTGAGAAAGGAACGACAAAATATATATATACATGTATATACAACGGAAAAAGGAATAGTATTACCGTTCACAACAAGAGAGAACAAACAAACGAGGTGATCGGGAAATGACACCGAAACACAAAGTACTGTACATGTAGCCAAGAAAAAAATCTCAAAAATTTCAGAGCCAGACCAAAACACGAAGACAGGAAGAACATGGCCGCCACCTCTGCAGGAGTCGGGGAGTGAGGGCCACTACTGGTGATCAAGAATTTGAATGGAAGTACATGTAATGGTCTAGGAAATAATGAATATGTACATGTATTGGTAATCCGCACAGGTTGCAGGCAGAAGACTGCATACATTGAGCAAAACATACGTTCTTTAGCTGCAATATGTACATGTATGTAAAATGTCATAACCTAGGGCTGAATCTCAATTATGACTCATGAGGATTCCAAACACATTGAATGACACACATTCAAACAAAACTGACATGAATGAGCAGTGACTGAACTGAATAAAATTCCATGATGCCATTATCTTTACGTCGGTGTCGTAAGCTGATTTTTTAATTAAGAATTTCTTGATTTCCAGAAAGTTAGTTCATAAATAACAATTTCAGTAACTAAATAGTGAAACTTACATGTATGTAAATTTTGACTAGCAATCAGCAACTGTCACCTGCGCTGCACAGTTGACAAACCCCTTACATCCTATGCATGTACATTTCTATTATGCCCCTGTAGTTGAGTTTGCAACGTACATGTGTGCACTTATGGTGTAATCCACAACTAAGAAAAACATGCATTTAGTTTTTGGCCCAAAACTAAATTGGCCAAAAAACTGTTGTTATAAAAAAAAGAAAACTCTGAAAGTCATTTTGATTAAACATACCGGTACATTAGACGCAAAAGTTTATACCGTAGGACTGTTAAGTAATAAGAAGTATTTGGAATCACACATACAGACTGACCTATCACCCTGTATTTTGGGGTAAAGTTTCTGGCTCTACTGATTTTTGAAAACTGTTAAAAATTGTAAAAGTTCGAAACGGAAATCTAGCTGGAAGAGAAATTTTTTTTCTAGACATTTTCTGAAGAATAAGAAGCTTAAACTTGCCGATAACAAGTTTAGGGTTGGTGCCGCAAAATTAGAGTCGGTCAGGAAATCAGAAGCAGAAGCAGTATTTTCTTTTGGCCTTATCAGTGCTTGCAAAAGAACATTCTATTGACCACTTGGAAAAGCAAACATGAATTGTCTTTTTGATATTATAGTATTGGCAGCCACACAGATTTTTTATTCATTACGACCTACATTTTTTGAAAAAAAAGCAAAATGCAGACTGATCCGTCAGAAAATAAACTTTAATAAATATTAGCAAATTGAAACTTCTTTCCACATCTTCATGTTGACCCTACTGATAGGCCAACTGCATGTAAACAAATAAATTAGTGAAAAAACTACAAAGTGGTATCGGTATACAGGCCACATGGACAAGAATGCTAGCTCAGTTTTTTATTTCTTATAAAAATTTTGCGAGACAAATTCACTGTAAAAGCAGGTACTGTATGTGGTATACACTTGTCCAGCTTGTCTGTTTCGTTTTTGTGTGTCTTTAAACAGCATAAAAACCAACCGTTGTTAGAAATTTAAAAAAAAAAAAATGGCAGCCATCTCGAAATTGTTTCTATGTTTTACTTTTCATTATCTTATCCTTTTTACGAATATTTCCTGATGCCTCGTTGACTCTGTATTTTGTGTGTAATTCTGTTGCAGTGATACCCACACACATGACACACTGTTTGGTCCTGTTTTGTGTTCCTCCAAGGCTGCTGATGGAATTGACTCAGCTCGTGAGCACCTTTCTCAACAACATGCGAAAGTGCATCCCTCAAGTGGACTGCATAACTTAATTTTGTGCTTCTAAAGGTACATGTTCATGGGATTTTCATACATACCAGTACGTGAACATGTATGAAGACATCATTGTTGATTTGTTAAAGATCTTTTTTTTTTCAAAGATGGACTAGGCAGGCGCTACATGAGTGCGGTGTCGATGTTACATCTGCAACACCTTTCTCAAGGGCAAACACAAGTGATCACTCCATGGACGTTTTATACGTAATATGAGATAGTAATTCAATAATACATGTACATGTACACTCACTGTTTGAACATGCGGTAACATTAAATATTAGCAATTAAAAGTATTTGTGGCTTGGCAAAGAATAAGAACATATACTTGTAAATTACATAGCATTTTCAGCAAGAGACTTGATTAGAACCCATTTTCTGGACCATGACATTCCTTTTTTAAGGGGATGGGCCATGTAGGGTTAAATTGACAAACAACCGTCTTACATACAGTATGTCATTAAATCAGCCAAAATTGGCATTTTCCCAAAAACTTATCTAAATTGGTTGATGAGGGCAGCAGACAAATCTTGGCAAAAATGTGACGTCATTGGATGGACTTTCCAGACAAGAATGCATACCGGTAGTTCTGGTAGGACAGTTGATAAGTCCGCGCAAGAATAATATTCTCTGCTCTGGCGTGTAGTCGGGTACGTAACTCGTTTGTGTCAAGTCAACCACATTCGGTCTTGCTCCCTATGCCCTTCTCTCAACATGGGGGCAGAGCTACTGGACAACTTGACGCGTCACATTCATTTTGTTTTGCATCGCATCGTACAAGTGTAATAATTTCTATAGTGAATTCTGATTTTTGAAAGAATGTCGTTAAACTGTGTTGTCAGTGGCTGTTGTCGATTGTAGGTAGGTTTGTGGATAAAACACAATCAGATTTTTATGAGGACTCAAATTCCCAACATGTGCATGGTTACATGTTTATGTATGTACACGTATCAGTACTGACACACACATGTACACCCATACATGTACTACGCGTAAACGATGTAAAATGGGATTATATTGCACTGGCGCACGTGAACTATCTTCCTGCGCAATTAATACCACACAGTCATCACGCATACCTGTCGATGCCAAGCAAGTGACTCGCAGTGCATGGTGAAAAAAAATTGTTGGAATGGAACACCAACTTTGACCAAGTAGGCTAGCCTATAACCATGGAGAAAAACTCTACTATACAGCTATCGAACAGCCAATGGTAGGACAATTGCATCTTTTCAGAAAGATACATTTTTATAATGGTACAGGAAAAAATCAAATCGTGACCAGTCAGTTTTTGGTTGTCGATCTTCCGGTTCGCTGCCATGCATGTGGCCAACAGCCCTGAGTTGCAAAATCTCTTCCTGAGTGTATTCTAGTTAGAACTGACAAGGCAATATTTCTCCTTCAATGTCACATTCTTTGTCAAATGAATATGACGAACATGACAACTGATCCCTGTCATGATCAGAAAAAGCATCAATGCTGGAATTATCGTCGCTTGAGTCTGACATGATTGCACATGCTAACGTTACTACATGTACACTACATACATGTCGACGGGTCGTTGCGTAACAGTAAACAGTCCCGCAATACAGGACTCCATCCTATGACGTCACAATTCTTGGGAATTTCTTCAGACAACTTCCTGTACCTGATGGCTGTTGTTTAGCTTTTGCTCCAAGAGGGGAGTGAAATAGGGTCGTGAAAGCTATAATTTTTAACATATTTCCGCACATTTTGAAATTATGCAGATGTGTTTTTTTGTTATCTATATGTTTGGGTTTTTGTGTTCATGCATGTTTTACAAGAAATCTTCCCAGCACGGCCCATCCCCTTTTAAGAGAAAAAACATTGCTTCAATTCATCTCAAAATTAAATGAAATAGTTGATTATAAAATTGCTAAGTTTTTATTGTCTTGTGTTTGTATTCATTTTGACCACTTGGCTTTTGTGGTGAGATTTGGATGGCATTAATGTTATGTCTGCAATAGTTTATCAAAATTTTTTTTTTCTTAAAGATTTAAGTGCTTGGAGATTATAAATCCTTTAGCAGATAGATGACTACGGTCTGTAAATTAAATACAGCTCGGCACCGTCAGTTGAATTCTTTGAGATTATTGTGTTTGAACATGGACATACAGAACAACTTTTTAAAAATAATAGTACTTTAGTTCAAATTGCAACCTAACATATTCAAAAATAAAAATATTACTTTTGTTCAAATTGTAATATAACAAATACACACATGTAGAACAACTTTCAAAAGTAAAAATACCTGTAGCTCTTTTGTTCAAATTGTAACCTACCGGTAACAAATACGTTTGTCTTGTCTCATTTTTGTTTTGAGTCTTTCTCTATCCACAAAAAATTTAATTCTTGTAAAGGGGTCTCCTAAAGGGATCATTTTGCAGCATATACTAGTATGTGCACAAAAATTGTTCAACTGAATAACTGCACTTGATGTGACTGCCCTCAATACAGGGTGCACTGACTAATTGTGTTAACGCAATCAAAACTTTTTTGCATTTAAAAATATATTTTTGCAATTTGAAAACTGTGATGAATGAACTTTCTGAACACTTCTGAAATTTCACTGATAACTATTACGTCACAATTTGTTCCCCAACCCCGATAGAATTACCCAGTTCTGGATTCACTTGAAATGAAAACCTACCTTTCATGTATTGTTCTTCAGTGCTACAGTTTACACATACATTTTAAGACAAGTTCTGTTTGAAAGGTAAAATGTGAGCTGCTTGAAGTTGTACAAATTGTTTTCAGAAAATTTTTTTAAAAGAAAGTTTGGCCCAATTTCCAATTCGCACTTATTTCTAAAATCAAACGCCACAGGAGCCCAAAAAATTTACAAGGGGATTCGTCATTTTCAGTATGTTATTTCAACTACTTTTTTCATACATGTACTCAACAGTCATACATGTACATGCAGAAACTCTTGCATCTAATTTTTGTTTATTCTTTAAAAATTGACCAAAACCTGAACACATAATTTTTCAGACAATGGATAACTCTCGTCGGGCCTCCTACCCCTGGGCCCCCTTTCAGTGTTGGGTCTGTGTGAATGGTCGGCCCTCCGGCTGGACATGACAACATTGACTGGGGGAGTAGGGGTGCTGGAGAGCATATACATGTATGGCAGGTTCCTCAAAATATGGACCATTAGATAATGTTCAACTTTGGGGGTTCATTTTTCCTGAAGAGAACAGCAGTGAATTAATTCCCAATGTCTGATGTAATGAGGGAAGTCATGGCCGATGTCTGGAACAATGATGACTGTGTCCATCTTTCAACTTAATTGGAGTTAATTAATTACATGTAAAATCTCGTATGTCAGCATTTATGACAGACATGAACAACCTGTTGAAATCCTAGCCAATAAAATTTACCAAGGAGTGATAATCCCCGAGGTTATTTTACACAGATTTAGATGTGGTGAAAGGTAGTAATATTTACACATATTAAAACCATAATCACAAAATTAAAAAATACCTCTCACAATTAATCAGGTCCCTAAGTTGGCAGTCGCGAAAGTCATTCGATTCTATCATTAGTGTCAAAAAAATCGACTGCAAAAAACAGCGAGTACAATCAAAATCAATGTACAACTCAAGCTTTAAAAAAAGAGTGCAAAAAAGCACCCACAAACCATCATCATCATCACTGGACCAATCACATTTTTATCAAGTACATTACCCAAAACCACAGTCCACAGTGATTTTGCAGCTTTCATCATTATCTTGCGGTGCCGTTAGAGAAACGTTTCGCTGCATCATGGCCTGTTTGACCTTTGACATCAACCCAGATAGTGCGCCTTCTTTTTCATTCGATATTCATGAGCCCCTCCACGGACTGGCGACACTACGGGACTTTCTCTTCGGACCAAGGTTTCTCGAAAGAAAATCAAATAAGTTTCATGATCCTGCATGGATGTGAATGGCATTTGGACTGGAACCGATGCTGCACATGCATTGCATGGTTCGGCATCAGTACATGTAAGCAACACCAAGTACCACTGAGTGCCAAGTGCAGTTTAAATGTCAACAGTGGAATCTACAGTAGCTGCTACCGGAGGTAGAGAAGATAAGTTTACAAAAATATCAAGCAATTTTGACACTGACGAACACATTTGATTGCCAATAATTCATGTACAGTAAACACATGCTGACATAAAAATAGGGCTTTTAAAGTTCAGCGTTTCTCTTTGAATTGCCAAATTCGGTTTCGACTCGGAACTGGGTGTTAGTGAGGTACCGGAACTGATTTTATAAATTGTGAAGCTTCCCAAACCTTAACATTCTACAAGTAATATTTACCTTCTAACATAGTCTTGATAGTGACTGACTGCTTCGCAATCTCCACATCTAACTCGAAGATCTCCCCGTCTGAGCTTGAAAGTTTTATATTTGGCATCTGTCAAAAATAACAATAACTGACCTGTGACTAATGTATGTGTATTCAGTGTGCAAGGATGAGATTCTGAGAATAAACAGATCCAGAACCAGGAAAGGTGTCATTGTTGTTATGCCCCAACTACAGCATCAGACCCAACTATAGTTGGGCCCAACCTAACTATAGGTTTCCAAAGGAATAAGGCTTTTTATTTGGTTTGAAAAAAAAAAACACTAATGCAAGATATCAACTACTGTCCTAATCACCTTCCCTATAGTTACATGTACATGCAATATCAAAACAACGATCAGCACTTGATGACCTTCACAGCTTCAGCCCAACGGAGTGATCTTCGATGCTCTCACGAACGCGCCACCCATCGCTGACTGTGACCTATTTTCAAGGGTTATACAGAGGTGCATGTATGGTGTCCAAGTGAAGCCATGCATAAAATAAATGTTAGCAGCCGTGCGGTTGCGTTTTGTGCGACTTAATCTTATCCTTTATTGTCGGAAGACGTCTTTTCTCTTTTTTTTAAACCTCACAGAATATTGAAATGATTTTAAATTTCAAATTACAAATAATAATAAAACTATTGCAGATGTCTCTTTGCTTTTGACTCTAAAGTTTGCCTGTGTTTTATGGGTTTTTCCCAACTGCCCTCATGTTTATTTTTCATTAAACATGAAAGTAATAAATTGACAAATGTTTTAAACTGAACACACTTTCATTTCTTTCTAAAACTGAAACATGTTCTGGTGCTTAATATGGAGATTATTTCATTAACCATAATAATATGCTTGAACTGAAAATATGGCTTATATTTTTTCCAGGGAAATCTGCTGACAAAGGAAGGAAACTGCACTGATTTACTCCTCTGTTGGTTGGAAGCATGGGAGACTGTGACAAGGTGTGATAACAAAACGTATCCCTTGCCAGGAGAGGGGTGGCACTGCAACAGGAATTGATGTGTATCGAGTGCAAGCAGTTTTCTAACATACACTGGCCCCATGTTAAATTGATGGAGTTAGCAAGTTCAATGGGTTGAAATCAGTGGAAAACACGGCACTTGTCACTGCCATCAATCTCTGAGTTGCTGTCATCATCATCGGCGACGGTAGTGGTGGTACTCTGAAGTGATTGTGTTCTGGTGCAGGAGCATGACTTGGATCAGGTTGAGGAGGAGAAATCACACGAGGCTTCTTTGGTTCATTCACATCAACAACGCACCAACATGCTTTTGTAAGCATTGATGGTGAACAGTTCCTGTAGGCACTTGCCCTACACCGCAACACTGGGCCTATGTACATGATCTGCAAGATGAGAAAGTAACATTGCAAGAAAGTATTTTGCTGTCGGATGTCACATGTTGGTTGTAATATCTACGGTCTAATGAATATTTATTATAATCTCTCTTTTTCAAAACAAATATTCACAATAGTGTATTTTTCATTTTGTAGGCCTTAATTGTAAAAAACCTTGTCATTTTAATATTTGTTGAAAGAATGAAAGAAAAGAAACCTACATTGAATTACCTTTTTAGAAATTAATTTAGTATAGTATTAATTAGTATTAATTTAGATGTTTAATATGCATGCAAAGATTGAAAAGTATCAGGGAAAAAATAAGCTTTGCAACATGTTAATTCATCCCTCCAAATGTGAGGGCAAAATGATTTGCCAGGCTGTGAGAAAATGATAAGAAACATGTCTTTTCTAAGCGTCCGTTCTTTCCCCCCATGCTCTGCTGTCAGTGGAGCCACGTGACTTCAGTCATGCACGAACGACTTTGAAACATTGTAATCTGAAACTTTAAAAGACACTGTAATGAATATAATTGCCCCCACAATGTAGAACGTTTTTGTATCTCGTAAACTAGCCCTAAATACATACACTCTACATATTCAACTTACCGCTATAACCTTAACATCAAACATCTCTCAGTCAACATGGTCAACGGTGAGAAGAGAAGATCTTTAGCAAGTCTGAAGGTATATTACGTCACTCGAAGTTGTCTACATCATGCGGTGCAATGCAGAAGGTAAGGACATGAAAACAGGGCCCCTCGAAATCAGGACCTCAAACGATGCATGCGCCAAATATAAAGTGCCATATTTTAGATGAATTGTGTCAAGTGTGAGATGCATAAACATGCATAAGGTCGAGAAATTTTCTACAGAAATTGGTCAACAATAGTTGGGCCAGTCCAACAGCAGCACTGCAGTTGGAACTGTCACAGGGATAGTTGGGGCGTAACATTGTCACATTCATCAATCCTGCAGAATGTAGCGTAGGCCTAGGCGTAACTTCCAAATTAAACACTTAGGCCTAAAATTTGGAAAATAATTAATTTTGTATCTCCAACACACACGGTGGTCAATTGACAATGATTGACCCACATTTCACTGGAATCTAGCCCAACTAGTGTGGCAAGGACTCTCACTCCCGATCCATCCTTAGTCACACATCCGTATACGCAATCTCATGTCAGCGTAATGAACATTTTCGGCGCAACCACTTATCATCATGGGCGCAATTTCTTTTGCACAAACATGATCCTTGACCTTTCTGTTTTCTAAAACCATTTATTGAATGATTTCACTCACATCATTCAGGTATTTTCCAGTTTCCAGTCTTTTTGCCTTTATCCATTCAATCTAACGGGCTCGCTCTCTCAGTCGCCATCTTTAAAATAAGATCGTAGAACAATACGTCACTTGACCCCCTAATTGTCTCGATGGCTGTTCCATATCAAGACTAGTTTAGATAACTGCTGCCAAAGATTTGGAAGAGCCCATTGATACATGTAGTATCTTATTGATCCATTTATTACATATATCTTGATGATAAGTGGGTGCGCCGAAAATGTTCATTACGCCGACACAAAATTGCGTTTACGGATGTGTGGCTAAGGATGGATCGGGAGTGAGAGTCCGTGCCACACTGGTGGGGGTAACTGGAATCTAGAGAATTTTTGCAGCTGTGATCTGACTGAATAATTTTCGCGATCTGGAACTTGGAAATGAATGCATTCGTCGCGATTGAGAATACGTACCGCCTCGGTATGGCCCTGTTTTACTGGGCCCGGCCAACGCAGGCAGGGAAAAGCAAACTCCAAAATAGGACAGTCTTTGAATTAGGCCCTATGTCAGAACTGAAGAAACTTGGGCCTACTTCCGACTGTAAACCTTACTTACTTACTAACTTTACTTAACGTTATTACCATTGAAAGCAAGGCAAACCTTTAATATTACTAGGGTAAAGTCCGGGAAATCCAACTACGGCACCTTCAAGGTAGATTCTGTCTTCGATGCAAATCACACGTTCAGTAGCTACTGTACATGTACATTTTTGTAACCGACACTGAAAAATGAGTAAGCACGACGTCACTTTCCACCGTCGTAAGGGGCAGTATCACAACCGAAAAGGGGCACTTATGATAATATACCTCACCGTGAACATGAATTATGCAGTACACGTATGTGGGGATTGGTCCTCGTCACTATATAGTGGGTCTAGACCAGTAAGTAAGTTGCCATAGACAACAGGGATAAATATCCCACTTCAAACAATCAGGAAATATAGTCAAAAGTTGCACAGATGTTCAAGACACATATCAAATTAAAGCTCACTTCCTCATTTTTCATTTTCCTTTCAATTTTCATTGACTTAACCAATGACTTTTGAAGATATTTCTCTCCAGAGAAAATCACCCCTCAAAACAGTCAGGAGGCCCATCGCCATTTTGGAAATTGATGCCTTCAAGTCTTGGCAAAACAGAGTAATTTGGAGGACCCCGTTTGGTCGATACTTTCAGAAATACAAGCTCACAGTCCTGTCCCTAGATTTCATCCATCTTTTTAACAAACCATCCAGTCCATGTGCCACGAAATGCTCTAATAGCAGAGATCGTGATTCGGTCCGCGCAGGCAATTTTGGACCCACGTACTGGCCTGCAACCAGTGTACATGTACATGTACGTACATGTACCTGTACTAAATACATGTGCATGTACTGTACTCTGTACATGTGTACGTGTACGTATCTGGCCGCGGCTAGCTGGCCAGACTGCGGTTAGACTTGACTCAAGTCGGAATCTCTGTGACGTCTTCGTTTCTACCAAAGAAAGTATAGCGCCGGGGCGCAGCGACAATGTGTGCCGTTGGGGATCACCGTTGGAGAGATGGGCGCAAGCCGGGTACAGTCATGAATAATACAGACATGAATAAAACAACATAGTATGACGCTGCATGAGCCAATGCTGCAGCATTCGTCATGTACGACGTCACATTCAGGGCATTGACAAGAATATGCATGTAACATAAAACCAGTGCGCGGACACATGTAATTGCCTCTGATTTTATATTATATTCTTGTCAGTATTCTAATCACGGTGCATGCTACGCAGGCCTTCCATATTTTTCTGTCACCAGGGCATGCTTTGTTCTCAGACGGACATGTACATGTATAGTTCATGTACATAGTGCTAGTACAGTACTGTACATCATGTACCTGACTTGCGCCCGTTGAACCACATGCCCACAATTTGGTACTTATCTTTTTCTCTTCGATGTACCTGACTCGCACATGTTTGTACTCCACATGCGCCCTCAATTTCAGACGCATGTGGAGTACAAATGGGTGCAAGTCAGGTAGGCCTACATTTGAGAAAAATGGGGGCATGTGGAGTACATGTACACTGTACATTTTCCTACCTCCATACACACACAAACGCCGGCCCAAGTCAGGTACGGTAGGTACGTGTACAGGACATGTTTTATTCATGACGTCATGTTGTATTATTCATGACCGTACCCGGCTTGCGCCCAGATAGCGTCTCCCACGCCCGCGCGCGCCGTTGCTTGCTTCGCGCCCTCTTGTGTCCACTTATTAACACGAGTTGAGGAACGAAGCAGAATCCATGTCAAAAAGATTGGAAGATGTTTTTGCTAAACGGAATGCCTTTTTTCAAAATCGAACATTTTTTCAGACTCGAATGGTTTTTAAAACGAATATCATTTTAAAAGAATCGTATTTTTTGAATTTGGAATACATTTTTAAACCCGAACAAAATTTTAAAGATGCAATACATGTTTTTTAGATTTAAATGAATTATTAAAGAGCAGATGCATTTTTATGGACGGAACATATTTTCTAGATTGGAATAAATTTTTAAAGAGTGGACATGTTTTCAAAATTTGGATCACAATTTATAAAACCAACATTTTCTCAAGATTGGAACGATTTTTAAAGTCCAAACATTTTAAGATCGGAATAAAATTGTTGACTCCGAATATATTTTTTAAAATTGGAACACTTTTCTAAACGTAAAGCTGTCATTCGACGCATGCATTTTTACCCGAAATCTCAATTGAGAAAGCATCTGAATTGAGAAAACATCCACATTGAGAAAGCATCCGAATTACTAAAACTTCAGCGTTAAAAAATTGATGGTTTTGAGCCCGAATTTCCGAACCTTTTTGGACGATTCGGCTCTTTTCGGCGTGCGCATGCGCACGCAAACTCCTGCGGTGGTTCCCGCTACCCTTGCAGTCGTTGCCTTTGGGGCCTTTATGCGCATGAGCTAAAATTCGGCGAAGCGGGGGGGGGGTGATTATAGGGTGCACCCCTAAAAATAATTCCCATAGACAGCAGTGATAAATCCCCATACTTCACAAATAATTAAAAAAAACTCACAACTCTCACAGGTGTTCAGGCTGCACAGAAAAATGATGTTCCACATGTCCTTTTTCATTTTCCTTTCAATTTTTAGTGGGTTGACAAATGAATGTTTGAGAAATTCTTACCCAAAGCAGACCACTCCTAATATGAAGGAAATTTCACAGCCCGGGAAAAGAGCCATTTTGAAAATGCATCCCTCTGCAAAATTTCTCAAATAGTGCCACTTTCGGACCCGATTGCATCCGAAGTGCTCAAAATTGGAAGTCCTGAGTCCGGCCCAGAGGTTCAGTGTCACATTTCTTCAATTCCCCAGTTCCATGGATCTCTGGACCCCAAAATAGAATATTTTGAGTGTATAACTGTTATTAATGAGCTCTGCAGGCATATTTCTGGCCTTTAATACGAGGGTGCACCCTTTACAAAATTGCGACGCCAGCCAGCCTATACCAAAATCCATCTGTGGAGATCTTCCTTATTGTGTAAAATTCTTGCTGAATTTATACCAGAGAAATATAATCAGGCTTTAAATTTTATTTTGTGATTTACTTTTTTTTTAATTTTTTGTTAATTCTAAGTGTCATTTTAGAGAAAATGGGGTGAAAGATGTCTGCATTGTACCTTACATTTTTGAACGTAAAAGGGTATTTTAAAAATCAAATTTTTGAATTGTTCTCCAATTTTCTCACACATGCTGCATATCTTGGAAATTAAAAGAGTATTTTAAAAAGAACACCGGGTTAAGTTCAAGCGATTGCGAATTGTCCTTTGTGAGTTTTATCAGTTTCAGTTTTGGCACTGTCAAAATGATGGTCGGCCATGATTTATGTGTACACATGTGCACGTACATGTACATGTACATTAACGCACGTAAACATGCACTAATACATGTACTACTACTATTACGGATAAACGATTCTCCTGTAAAATATTCAATTCACAACTTAAACATGCTACCGACGTTTGATCAGGTCTTAATACACATGGCACTTTATTTCGTTTGTTTTGATAAACTGGACAAATGGTTTTAAAAACAGGAATGGCCGTGGTCATATTTCTTTCATATCAGGTCGTACTTTTTTCTTTTTTTTAAAAACACTTTGGGGAAATTTGTTTCAAATTTTGTGCAAGTGGGTTCATGTAATACGGCAGTGTTATATTCGAGTCCATCACAAGTCTGTGGAAGTCCCTGAAAATCCATCACAAGTCATTCGGTCAGTCTTAAGCCAATTCAAAAGCTATTCAAATGGGCTAGCTGTGACCAAAGCATACCTTTGTTATTGTTCACCCTGTTACTTATGACTGGCCATGTGAAGGCCGGGGACTTGTGACTGGACTTGAGAAGGGACTTGTTACTGGACTTGTGAATGGACTTGTAACTGGACTTGTGAATGGACATGTGATACAACACTGTAATACGGTGGTTGTCTAATAATTTTTCAGTTATCAGGTTATCACCGTGTACTTTATTTGCATGGATTTTGCTAAAATAAATGATGTTCTCCATAGTAAAGTGATCGAGTGCGTATGCACTTAGGTGGTGCACAAGGGCGTGGGAGTGAAAATTGTGAATATACTCTTGTATCGTGTCCACTAGGATCACGCTTGGTGTCGTGCTGTTTTCAGAACTCCTTTTGAACAAAAGCAGAAAAAATGTGTAAATGAAGTGAGAGGAAAACAATCATTGAAACAAGAACAAATCTTAACATTACAATCCAAAATCATTATTAAATGCTGTGCCCCAGTATTGCATTCAGTATGGAGGTTCATGTCTTCATTATGTGGTGGAGACAGCATGAATGCAATGATGGAAGACACCAAAGAAGCATATGTTCAGTTCTTCGAAAACAAAAACAAAAAAACAAGACAGGACAAACCGCATTCATTTTCTGGTTACATGTATATTCAACTCCATTGAGAGCAAATAGTTCTGCATATTATGACTTACACCTAGATTGCCCAGTTACCACTGCATACTAGAGGAAGGACTGCTTCCTTTTCCAAATAGTGAAATCTGGTTTGGCCTTGCTGGGACGAAGACCGGAAGGTCAGACAGAGACAGTTTGTGGAGAGGGTTTGTTGGGTTCTGTTCCTCACCACAGAAAGGAAGACTGCGCTGTGGTGTATGTTGTGCATTTCATTGTCATTTTGGAAATGAGTCATTGATCACATCTTTAAAGTTAATTATTGTATCTAAATTATGGGTTTGGAAACTTGAAAGGTTGTCAAACCGGCCTCACTATCGGTAATCGGTTTTTAATTGGTTTTTCAGGGCAGAAGGGGTAGAGTTTTTAATGAATAATTAAAATGCATGTACATGGCAGCCCTTGAAAAGATTATATATGTATATCAGTGTTACGTGAACAGGGTGCAGTTGTTAGCTTCAACGTCCAGTAACCTTTCCCTCCCGGAGCTTATAGCCACAGCAGTGGCGTAGCCACGTATTCCCGGTGCCCCTCCCCCAGGTGCCCCCCCCAACTGAGGAATGGATATTGAACAAGGCTAACAAAATCTTGCCCCCCCCAAAAAAAAAACACCACTGAAAACTGGTGCCCCCATGTGCCCCTTTGTCCCCCCCCCAGTAAAATCCTAGCTACGCCACTGAGCCACAGGCTGATTGTCTGGGAAACACTCAATCTTTCAGTTGAACAAATTTTGGACCTTCTGCTCATACGCTCGCTCAAACACTCACTTATTTCTAAGCCATTATGATCCAACCTGTTTAGACATCTACCTCG